CCTTCACTCAAAAAGGTTGTGCACCCCTATTCTAATATATGTCTTTAATATAACTGCCAACCATTCAGATCTTTTCTCAGTTTTTTAAATCAAGTGAAACTAAAAAAAAAAAATTTAATTAAATTAGTTATTTATTAGTCAATATTTATATGCTTTTATTTCATAAGATTGCCAATTTCATTTTATTTTAAAAATGAAAGAGGTTGGCTATTATATAATTATAATATAATAAATATGTATATCTGTATAGTAAATATATTCTGTTGTAATTGTATACCATATTTTTTTATACTACATACTGTGTTATATTACAAAACTTTCAAAATACTAACATACTTTAAGAATATTTATATCAATGGTTAGTATAACATAGCTGTTGTAGGCGTGACCAAGGTAAAAACTAATACCTAATACATATTTTAAGTATAATTTCTTTATTTTTTAAACACTATAAGTATAAAAAAAATTTTATTTGAAAAGAATATTGATTTTTATGTTTAAATTACATTTACTACCATCATTGTGATGAAATATATATATATATTTCATTTTGACCTTTCTACTCAATATTTTATTTCGAGCCAAATGTTACAGCCGGATAATAATAATATCCGGACATATGGCCTACTAGCCGGATCTGCCGGATAGATACTGCCTACCGGATATCCATTGCATCTCTACTATGCACCCTACCATGTAATTAGAAGTTAATGTAATTTAAGTGATTTTACCTGTGTCAAGATTTTATGATTTTGTTATGTGCTAATAATCAGGGGTCTGTCCAGGAAACGAATTACTACCGTTTAGCCGTACCTTCACAAATTGAACTTTAAAAAAACCCCGTAGTTTAACAAAATGCTTTTAAAAAGGCAAGTTTTAAGATTCTTCTCTCCGCCTTTTTGTATCCCCGTAAAAAATAATTAATCCCTGATTAATTTCACCTACACAGATAGGTAGCACATACTTTGCTAGATAGTGCGGTATGGTAAGCCTTAACGGTCGCTTACACCATATTATAGCAAGTATTTTTTTTGCAGAGTTTTTTAAGAGGCTCTTTCTCTGTAAACTGAAGTTGAAATTCGTAATTGAAAAACATTATTTTAAACAACATTCGAGATTTTACTAAGTTTATTCTAACAGACTTTTATTTTTGTATAAAACAATTTTTTCTCTGTGAAGTTTTTTCTATATAACCCCATGGGAAATGTTCTCATAATGAAAATAACTTTTAGTGCAAGTACTTACATTCCCATCACCGAATTGTATATGATTCGGTGATGGGAATGTTGTTTTTTTTTTTTTTTTTTTTTAAATTCAAGTTGAAATTTAACAATGGACAGTGATTTTTATGGATTTTTAAAATTGGATGCAATTTTAATCCCAAAATTTACAATAGCAAAAATTTTTTTTAATATTTGGGGAAAAATATATAAAAATTTACTAGTCATAAATGATTTTTATTTGCTGTGACAATTTTTGAAAATATCTTCTTACTTTACCATATTTTTGTGTTGATTTTATAATATAATTTTTAATTTTCCCAAATTATGTATAAAGGAAAAACCTAGACAGACCCCTGGCTATGCAAATCTTTCAATTTTTAATTATTTTTAAACTCAACTTACAGGGGTCGCATTCCCCCTAAAATTCCTAAAACTATGTGCAAACCCTAAAATTCCTAAAAATCTCATAACATTTTGTTGGTGTTCCTAAAAAATTAGTTATATGCTAAATATAAATAAAAAAAGCAATAATCTAAAATATAATAATTTAAAAAAGTATTCTATTTTAGAGAGGAAGATTCTTTTTTTTTAAAAATTACTATAAAATCGAAATAGAATTTTAATTTATGGTAATAATTTTAATGAAAGGTATGCAGATTATTTGTTCTGATTTTTCGAACTATTTTTTTAAAAAAACTTTTATTGTTTATATAAACATCGCAGAGGATGAGAAAGGGAACTGTTTACAGTATATGTAACTTTAGTTAGCAATATTTTTGTCATGATTTCCTTCAATTTTATCTGATATTAAATTTTGGAAACTTTTCTGTGTACTTTAATAGTGCATATAAGTATAAGAGATATGAGAATTTAAATTGTTTAAAGTATATACAATTTAAGACAGTAATATTTTTGTTAATATTTAAGTTGATACAGTTTTTATATGGTATATTTTTACTTCATAAATGAATAAATCAATTTCTGTATACTTAATCTGGGATAGGTAAGAAATGAAATTGTGAATTTTTTTAATATATATATCGCTTATAATAATTTTAAGTTCGTAAAGTTTTAGTCAAATATTCCTTAATTTTTTATTTGGCGTTGCATTTTAATTTACGAATTGTTTCGGATTTAATAGAGTATATTTAATTTTTCCAAGCTGGTGTTAATTTATTTTTTCTCTTGATTTATCCTCACTCTTGCCTGTTTCGGAATTATGCACTTAATTTTTGATAGGTAATATGTAAAGTTGAAATTTCAATTTTACACTTTAGAGATTTCATTCTTGACTTAATAAATTTCAGAGCTTTATTTTATGGCTTGCAATTATTTATGATATGTATGGATGAATAAGAATAATCTTCTGTTATGTAATAAACTACCGTGTGATCTGTTTTTATCCTAGCAAAATCATATATTACCCCTAAAATTTTTTGAAAAAAGCTCTTAAAATTACCCTAAGATTTTAAAATACTTTGCTAGTACCCCTGAACTTATATAATTTTTTTTTTTATTCAAGGAGGAAGTGACACCAATAGCCGTTAAAAATGAAACAATACAATTTAAAGAAAGTTCAATTCAATTTTTCATTATTTTTAAACTCAACTTATATAATTCTCTTTTTTTTTTTATTCAAGGAGGAGGTGACACCAATAGCGGTTAAAACTGAAACAATAAAATTGAAGGAAAGTGCTCGGAAATCCATAAATACTAGAAGAGATATTGCAGCCATAAGAAGTTCAGAGTCATGTGAACCAAGTACTTCTAGAAATAATTCTTCTCATATTCCAAACAGTATTCCTAATCATGTAAATTCAACTACGGCCAAAGCATTCAATAAAAAAGAAAAATTCACTGCACGCAAGTCTATGTATTCATCACATTCACCTCAAAATAGTTTTTCAGATAGCAACAATAGAAAACAAACTCTTGACACAAAAACTATTGTCTTAACTGATAAACCATTTCAGGACACGGATGTTCATTCCTTACCTATTGAAATACATGTTACTGAATCTAAAAGCTCAAAAAAGTTACTTCTTAACAATAAAGCTGCTACGACTTCATTAAATACACCGAAGGACGAATTACCTTTTGCTAAGTTGAAGGAAAGGGGCATAAGTATTAGCTCAAATGTAAAAAGTGATAAAAGGAGTTCTAGTGGTGCAATTACAACAAATAGTGATAACAATACGGGAAAATTAACCACAAATGCTCAGTTAAATTCTAATATATTAAATGGCGTGTTTGAAAATCAAACTCTTACAAATAACGCACAATGCAATAAACGCGTGCATAACTCCACAAAATTTGATAAAGATGTGCCTTTAAGTTGGTCTAAAAAGAGAAAACTCTCTGAAAATGATGAATCTAAACCTAGATCTGTGCCTGAATCACGGGTACATAAAATAATAGTTAAAAATATTGAATCTACGGCCGGGAGTCAATTTAAGTCTGATTCATCTATGTCTAATGATTCTAAGCTTGAAAGTCAAACTAAATCTGAACTGAATAAGAAATTAACTACAAAAAAAGAATCTGTTAGTCAAAGTAAACATGAATTGTTTAAGATTAAACCCATTTCAACTGATATGAAAGCTCAAAGCAAGAGAACCTCATCATCAATCAATCTGAATTCTGAAGCAACTGATAATGAATTGAAGGGAAAACTCTCTAAAAATGATGAATCAAAACCTAGATCTGTACCTGAATCACTGGAACGTAAAAAAACAGTTAAAAATAATGAATCTTCAGCCGGAAGTCAATTCAAGACTGACTCATCTACTAATAGAAAACTGCCTATGTGCAATGATTCTAAGCTTGAAAGTCAATCTATATCTGAACTCAATAAGAAATTAACTACAAAAAATGAATCAGTTAGTCAAAGTATATGTGAACCATTTAAGATTAAACCCATTTCAACTTATACGAAAGCTCAAAGCAAGATACCCTCTTCATCAGTCATTCTGAATTCTGAAACAACTGAAAGGGAGGGCAGATTTCTTTCATCCGGACACATCATTACTGTGTCATCCGATGGAATTGCGGAAATCAAATCTGACAAAGAATTGGTCTCGCTTGATGCTGATGTAATTTTCTTGGATGCACCAGAAAAAACTAATGCTGCAGGTTCATCTACTGATCGCAAATCACCGATTGCTGGAAATAAAACTGCTAGTGAAGTAGTCAACAACTCAACAAAGTCTGCCAGTTTTCAAGATGTTATACACATTCTAGCCTCTAAACCTATACCAGCCTCTGAGAAAGTTGAACAGTATCTTCTTAGCAATTCTACACTGACTGAAACAGCCGTGAGACAGCCTAAAGAGGTATGTTTGACGTAATTTATTTATGTATTATTAGCTGGCATTTGCCACGGGGGTCTGATCGTAAAGACACGGTTCCTAGTAGAACACTGTAGTCAAGCATCACTGTCTGTGGTCAGTAAGTGGGTGGCTGAGCCGCGATGACTCAAAAGATAGAGCATCCACCTTCTAATAAGGTGAACCGGGTTCGAATCCCAGCAATGGCTGGTCGATAGGAATTCCGCATCCGGCTTCCACCGCCCACAGTGCTGTCATGACATATCCTCAGTGGTAGATGGATCATGGGTTAGAGTCCCCTTGCCATCAGGCTAACTGTGGGAGGTTTTTGTGGTTTTCCTCTCCGTGTAACTCAGATGCGGGTTAGTTCCATCAAAAAAGTCCTCCACAGAGGCAAATTTCTCCCAATACTTCATCCATTAATTTCTTTATGTTCTGTATTGGGTTCAAGGCTACTGAGTTGAGCACTATTAGTCATAAACCCAAATTAGGGTATGCTGTTCAATGACGGTTATAAAAAGTAAGCGAGTGGGTGACCACTTTGATCAGCCTGCGTGCTGACCGAGGGTGCACGGTATCGGTCTTCATTAAACTGTTATACCGTCAAGTGCTTGACCTTGCATGCATGCTACCAAAGCAGGGGAGCCATCTCCTCTGTAGAATATCAAAATTACGATGGCATTATGATTGTGATGAAATTACTTAATTATTTTAGTTTTATACTAGGTTTTAAAATCTATATGGCTTCCAATTTTATGGCTTCCAATATTAAATGTTAATTAAATGATCCTCATTTTCCTAAACAAATGTAATAATAAAGTGCATTTATATTAACATAAATTATGCATACTATTTATTCGAGTGGCTTTCATTCATATGAGAAAAATTTTTTTTCATAGAAATTTTCATGACACCCCTTAAAAAGGTGCCATTTGGTTTAATAAAACTGATATTCTGTAAGTTTCAGCACATTGAAATAATATTTAGATCTCTTCCCCTAGCCTCAAAATTTGAAAGAAAAAAAAAATTAATATCTAAAAGCTGCAAATTTTTCACCATAAAATCTGAACAGGCCGTTTTAGCAAAATAATTTGGAAATTATTTAAAAAAAACAAACATATTAAACTTCCTCTTTCCTTTTAAAATTGAGACTTGTTTCTAAAATAAACAGATCAAAAGGTACAAGTTTTTCTTTTTCTTTCTCCTAATACTCTCTCCAAAAACAATTTTAGAAGTGTTTAAAAATGTTTGCACATTTTGATAACTGTAGTAAATTTTTTCATGAAACTAAGATAGGTAATGAATTTGTTAATAAGAATCGTCAGATGTGATTATTATTTCATGGCAATAAATTATTGTGGTTAGTGGATTATTATCTTTTTATTACAAAATTTTTAGATACTTGTTACTACATTAAAGCAACGTGTAATAACAATTTTTGTAATTGTCGCTTTCTACAAAGGGTTACATTGACTACTTCTTATCTTCCCTAATTAGCACATGCAGTCAAACCCCGCTATAGGGAACCTTCCAGGGACCGGAATTTCGTTCACCATAACCGGAAATTCAATATCTCCGTTCCACAAACAATTTTTACTAATGGTTCTTAACTCCCCCTTTTATTACCCACAACATTATTTAAATAAATGAGGAATAGAATGAAATACAAAAATGACTGAAAAAGAATACTTAGTTACAAAAATATGTTAACTTTTATTTTTTATTACTCTTCATCTTGCGTACAAAAAAATAAATAAAATTAGTAATCTTTTGCTGAGGAGCAATCCTCAACATCAGATACAGAAGCACTTCCTGACTCTCCGATCATTTTGTCCTCAATTTATGTTCCAAATTTTAAACCTGTCTAGCCATTCGAGCTCATAAAAGTAGTCTCACCAAATCGCTTAGCAAATTCATTGGCTTTGACTTGAAGCATTTGTTCAGATACTGGACAATTGTGGCTTCTCTGAATGCTGAAGTAATTCAATATTGCTACTTTCCATGCTGTGGATGGTTTTAAAAATTGGTATATGTATTTATTTTGAAGTAGAAATTTCAAAATTATTACAAAAAAATAATGGAACTAAATCAGTTGAAGACAGAAAAAAGTTCATAATATCAAACTTCCTCTCTTGTTTTGGTTCACTATATCCACAAAAATTAACATTATACAAGTGTAGCAAGGCATGGGAGCGAACGTTTCGTTCACTATATCGGGGAGTTCACTATATCAGGGTTTTACTGTATGTTCTTTCTGTGTAATATTTAGAAGTATAGTGGGGGCAAAAAATAAAAAAGAATTGAATTGAATCTACCATGAGATAGTTAGTCAAAAGTATACAAAATGAACTCAAAGGTTTAACCTTGATTGCAAAGATATATTTGTGCCAGAACTCAAAATATTAGTAAATTAAAAATAGAAAAGGGCTAAATAGTACAATATCTGATGTCTAATTACATTTGTCTAATTTTGACGAGTGATAGGAGTAAAATATACAGTAAGCTCTCTCTACTACTATCTCCTATACAACAATAACTCCCTCTATTATGATAATGTTTCATGGTCCCGACGAACTTGCATATTAATTAATATTATCCTCCTCTCAATATGACGATATCCTCTGAAGCAATAAACCTCAGTAAAACTATATTTTTTCCAAATTTCAACCTTATTTTCTCCATTTGTAATTGGTTTTTAAATAATGTAAAAATTATAAATTTTATCTTTTGCCATTTTTTCTGACAAGAGAAGACTCACTGCTGACCACCCCAAGAGCTTCCATTCTTAGAATTGCCTCCCTTATCACTTAAGAAGTCACAGATGTAACATTCCTATCTGATTTCATTTCCTTCATGTGAAAAGCTGATCATGAGTCACAAATGATGCATCACATGAGTCACAATCATGAGTCACAAATGATGCATCACATTAACACCTGAAAGATAATTTTTTCCCTAGAGGGTGGGTGGGGCACCATTCACAAACATAAATCATTTTCATGCTTTGGATTCAATGCCTACTTTGTTGGTGGACTTAACAGTAAAAAAAAATGAATAAACAAACGAAAATATTGAATATCTTCAATAAAAGCAGTTTTCAGGTATGTTTACGATCTCATTTTCTGAATTTATTTAAATTGTATACGTATATAGCATTAAAATTTTAAAAAATCTTATTGGGTCACCAAAGTATATAATGTAGGCCCTCAATATATCCCTCCACAGCAATATATTTATTTGGTCAGTAAAATATTGTTGTTACTGTATTACATACATAAGTAATTGGCTTACCGAAGATTCTTATATGAGAAGAAACTAATAAATTTTCAATTCAGCCTTCATATTTTTTTCTTCAAGGTAGCACAAAAATAGAGTTTCTGAAGTACTAAGTTACTAGTACTTCAGTTAGTATTTTATGACTATTTCCTGTTTACCCATATATTCTCAAATTTCTCCATATTTGCTAAAGAAATTTTAAAAAAAAATCATTTGTTTGGTGTTAAAATATCTATTGATGGATAAAATATTTTTTTCGCAATAAAATATCTGTTATTTTTTTTAAAACTAAGATTCTGGTATTTTATGCCTATTTCCTGCTTACCCATATATTTTCAAATTTCTTCGTATTTGTTGAAGAAATTAAAAAAAGAAACATTTGTTTGGAGATGAAATATCGGCTAATGCCAAAAGTACTTTTCTTATTCCTCAACAGATGGTGCTATTGCCAGTGCTGCAGTATGTTGAGTATTAATAGTTTAAGTAATTATAAATAATGGTTTAAAAAATCTTCTTTAGATTAAGGTTTATATATATATTTTTTACCTCACTAAATACAAGTGCTTACATTATTTCCAATTTTGAATTTCTCTTTTTGACTTACATGATGTATAAAAACTTTAACCGTAGCCTAAAAAATGTCGCTAGTAAAATCTCCAGTATTATATTTCTCCAATGTTGACAGGTATGTAAGTAGTTACCACCCTATGACAATGTACCATACTTCAGATTTTCAAAAATTACCCTATCAAAATTTTTTTGAGTTTTCATAAATGTTTTATTAATTTGTTGTTCTTAGCACTAAACATACAAGCACTTAAGCTATACCTATTTCTACCATAGCCGGTGAAATGACCGGACTTTGTTTCTTGATTGAATCTATGAAATATTTATGTTAGGAAGGAAATAAACTAAAAAAAGCTTTATTATAATTAAGCAAAGTTGTATATTGCCAATTTTTACGCATGACAGACACAAAGAATATGAATTTTTAATTCATTGCTCAACACATATTTTACATATACAGGGTCTTTCCATTGTACATTTTTTGTAAACACATTTCTTCTAATTATTATTATTTCTATAATTCTTATAATTATTCTCATAATTAATGTTATTTATTTTAAGAACTTGTGATGTCTTGATTGTTCCGACATTTTTCTGGGTGAAAACTATGGTGAGCTACAGATCTAGCCTCACCTAACAGCATAAGGTTAAATTTGAAACAGCATAAGGTTAAATTTGAAAACTCTCCTCGATCTTTAACCAAAACTACAATGAGAGGAAGAAAAGTTCAAGTACCTGTTCGTTACCCGCAATAGACATTTGCGCAGCTTATTTTTGGTAACGCTCGTGGACCTCACTGGAGGGGGAGTACTATGGTGAGCTACAGATCTAGCCTCACCTAACTTTATTTAAAGCTTTAAATTTATTTAACACCGTTGGCAACGTTCCGTTGACAACTGAGTTGTAATTTGGTTTTTCACTTTTCCAGTTTTACCTTTTCATTCTCGGCCGTCAAACCAGATGGTTGTGTTCTTGTTTTTAGTTAATAAATTTAGTTTATGTATGAATGATATTTCTTTCCTTATACATAAAGTTCAATAGACCCTCGAAGACACTGGGGCCTAAAAAAACTAACAGCTAGTTAGAAATGAAGTAAAGCTATCAACATAAATATGAACTGCTTACCAAAACATTTACTTTTTGTCACTTTTTATGACACGAAAATGACAATCTGAAATTTTAGGTCCTTTCTTGAAATTTGAATTCACTGTTATTCTGATTGAACTCACTACGCAACTCATCGAATGCAATATGTGGAACACGCATTACATCGAAATTTCTGATCCAATGACCTTATAAAGCAATGAGTTGTTCTCCAGTCAAATGAGCTGTTGTGGCAGAAATAGGCATATGACAAGTATTAGTCGATAAAAAAGCAATACAAAAAAAAATAACAATAGAATCTTAACTGTATGTAATTGTTAGAAAGAGTCTTGAAGTCAAATGTGCAAAATTGATAAGATGATAAGCGCATTTCGAGCGTGCAAGTTCTTAAACGGTCATTTGACCGATTATGCTATGTTTGGTGTTAAAAATTGGTTCTAGTTTTTGACAATTGTGATTTTTTGTAGACCCCTGTATGTATATATATTTTTTAGGTTACTTCGCCTAAGCTCTCTTTAAAGAGGAAGAGGCAAGAAGAGGGTGAACAGTTGAATTCCGCCAAGAAAGGTCTCTTTTCAAATGAAGGGTCAAAAGAGATTTTGGCAGAGCGACCAAGTCATAATGAAGATCCTACATCTTCTGCTAATAAAGAGAATAAATCCATTGCAGTGAACTACTCTGCTAATAGAGACGCAAAACATGACATACCCGGACCTTCTCACGAAACGTGTTCGGTTGAATCAAACAAGCAAAAGTTTGAAATGGTAAGTTATGTACAGTTTGTCTACAGTAAGAATGCCCCTTGCCACAAAGTCTGAGGCCGTCTGCTTCTATGGAAACAAGAATGGTGCATTTCATGGAGGGTTTCCCTTTCTCTCATCGACCCAAACCAAAACCTGTTCTAAATAATGATCCCACACCCCTACTTGAACATGGTGTGTAGCGTTTTTAAAAAGTGCTTAAATTTTCTTAGATTTCCGTTAAGCCCTTAAATGTGCTTTTACCATTTGGTGTTTTTAAAAAGTGCTTAATTTTCCCTTTTCAAAAATGAGATTTTTTTTCGTTACCATGTCGATTTTTGCTACGTATTATGCAAAAGCGTGCTTTTCACATTGTTCTATTCAACGTTTTGACAATTTATTTCGGCGTACCTTCGGACCATAGCTTATGAAAGCGCCAATTATTTTGCATGTTTGAGGAAATACTTGTGAGTCCATATGTGAGTCTACTGAGCCTGGTTCGGTGAGATTATTGCCTTCTCATGTGCAACTCTGTTGAATTTTGCAAGATATTCTCAATTTCAGATTCATTTTCCACCCTCTCATATCGTACCAAAAGATCTCTCGGATCATTTTATAACGGCTAATATAATCAAGAAAAGAGTTCTTTGTCAGAAACTAGTTATTTTAACATGATCATCTAAAGTCTTTAAAAATTATTTTGCATTTTGTTAATGTATATAGTGCTTAAAAATATTTTTTGAGTGCTTGAAAAGTACTTTAAGGGTGCTTATTTTTTGTTGAAAGTTTTGGCTACGCACACTGTTGAAATAATTATACCTCGTTACCTTAGTCACCACTACGAATCCTGACGAATGGCTTGGGGAGTTTTTACTTTTGACAAACTATAAAAGATTGCATTCAAACTAAGCACAACTCAATAATATTATATTAATTGATTTAGTTATCAAGCAAAGAGAGTATAAACGTGAAAATTATTAGTAGAGAGGATACTTTAAGCAATAATACTGAGCAAACAAAATTTTTTTTTTATGTTCCTGAAACCTTAATATATGAAGGATCTCTTTTTTAATCTCCTTTTTGATATGAAGGATGTCTTTATTTCACCATACCCCAAGAACTTTTAAAGTTAATTAATAACTTTTTGCACAGTATTTTAAATCTTGTTTAGCCGAAGTTAATTCCATACAAAAACAATTTTTAATAATTATTTTTTATTATTTTATTAATTAGTGGCTGAATAAATTTTTAATTGTATCCTTTGCAAACTTTGACATTATTTTAAATTATGTTATTTTATATGCCATGATGTAGAATTTGAGTTAAAACTGCAAAATAGTTCACCAGAAATAAAAATTTAAAATTACTTTGTTTCTTAGATTTTGTTAACTCAGTAACTATTCAACTGATTTTATAAAAGATTTATATTTTCTCATTCAAAATTACGTATTTTGAAATTATGCAAAAATCATTAAATAAAATACTAAAATAAATAGTTATTAGGAATTATTTTTTTGCTGGGAAGTTTATTTTGATAAAAGAAATATTTACTGATAAAATGAATAAATAATTATTGGAAATTATTTTTTTTGGGAGGAAGTTACTCGTTTGTCTGCAGAAAGTTAACATAAGGATTTAACTTTTGACTACTCTTTTAACTAAGCTATTGGGACCATGTTTTCCAGCCTCACGATACCCCCCATATTTTGATAGTCAAAAATCAAAATAAGGAAATGGTGAATTTTTTATTTTGCAACTATAGTTAACACTCAGGGTGCGTAGCGTTTTTAAAAAGTGCTTAAAGGTGCTTATTTTCGTTTTTTAAAGGCCCACAAAGGTGCTTTTTTCATTGGGTGTTTTTAAAAAGTGCTTGATATTTTCTCTTTCATAATCAGATTTTTTCTTTACCGTGTTGATTTTCGGTTCGAATTATGCAAAAAGACAGAGTTCAACGTTTTCACAATTCTCTCTACCCTAGTCTATTTCGCCCTATTTTTCAGTTCGTAGTGTATGAAAACTCCATTCGTTTTGCAAGATTCAAAATTTCATGATTTCTGACAATTGTCAAAAACAATGAGAAAAGTTTTTTTTTTTACATGACGGTTAAAGCAAGATAAAACCGTCAATTGCAAAAAACTTTCCAACCCTGCCTAATTATATTTTTTTAAAGTGCTTAAAATATTTTTTGAGTGCTTAAAAGGTGCTTATTTTTTGTTGAATAGTTTGGCTATGCACCCTGAAACTTATTGTTTAGCATATTTGAGATTTTTATGTATCATTTTGATTGGCAATCTGAAGGTAAAAATCCAATAATTAGAACAAAACTTGGAGATTTTTTTTTTTCTTCTTCTGTATAAATAACATTATACAGAGCAATTGGGAGAGAAATGGGGCGAAAGGTAACGAGTGTGTTTATAAATATTAACTAGCATCATTAAGAAAAGAACCAGTAAACCTGACAACAATTATTGGATTACACTGCCATCAATACCTTATCTGTTGTTATTACAGGGTTGCCACTTCACAGGAAAGAATAGGGAGAACCTGGAAAATAAAGAGAATTAAAAAATCGCCTAAAATAATAGGGAAAATGCAGGGAATTTTGAGTTTTCCTTTACAAATGGGGAAAATACAGGGAATTTTGCTTCTTATTTTAGTCTTTTAAAAAATGGTGATTACTCAAAATGCGTTCTGTGGGATATTTAAGCTACCAGGGGTCTGTTTAGAGGACATTTGGGTCCGTTAACGGACCCTTCACAAAATATCTTTTCATAAAAACGGACCCTTCACAAAATGATTTTTCTTTTAATCGGACCCTTCACAAATTTTTTAATCTTTGTTATTGTTTTGTTAATCAAATAAACCCTTCCCAGGGCAGAAAACAAGAAAGATGGATGTAAACGAATTAAGTTTTGTCTTCCACAGACGATTCTTCCATTATTCGTCCGAAATGAATATTTTGCGTTCAGCAGTATAGGCTAAATACCAAATATTTGTATGTTTTATCTCTAATTTAGAAGCAGCAATTGCTGTTTATTTTTGAAAATTTAATTTTTTAATTATAATTTTACCGTGTTGAGCATAATCTTGTATCTATTTACAATTAAAAAACTTCTTGAAAAAGTTTCTTGCCATAACCGGACCCTATTTGCACAAATTCATAAAAGCGGACCCTGGTTGAAAGAATGTGAGTAATTTTTCCACAATTTCACGAAAAACGGACCTTTCACAAAATGTCTGGACAGACCCCTGGCTACAGTAAACTATCTCATTTACTATGGCATTATTTAAATATGTTCATCTGTTCCTTTTTTTTACTCTAAGCATACCTTCCAAGTCTCCTGTTTTTTAACTAGAAATCCGGTATTTTACATCTATCTCCTGTCCCCTCGTATATTCTCAAATTTCTCTGTATTTGTTGAAGAAATTTTTAAACAACAAATTTCGTGATAAAATATCTACTGATGGCAAAAATGCTTCTCTTATTCCTCAACAGATGGTGCTATTGCCAGTACTGTGGTACGTTGAGTGCTGTGGTTGTGAGTTTAAGTCGAGCCGTGATGGCTCGAGGGATAGAGCATTTGCCTTCCAATGATGTGAACTGGTTTCGAATCCCAGCGATGACTGGCCGATATGAATTTCGCATCCAGTTTGCAGCGACCTCAGTGCTGACGTGAAATATCCTCTGTGGTAGCTGGATCATGGCCCCATTGCCGTCAGACTTACCCAGCAAAGTTTTCTTGGTTTTTCTCTCCATGTAATGCAAATGCGGGCTAGTTCCATCAAAAAGTTCAACAAGAAGTCAAAATTTCTACCACTACTTGATCCACAGGGTTTCCATGGATCAGGGAGAACAGGGAAAATCTGGAATAGTCAGGGAATTTTATTTTAACTCTAAAAATCAGAGAATAGTCTGGGAAAGTTGCAATTTTTTTACAAGAACCTGGAATATTCCTGTATCATACCTGGAAAATAACCAATCTTAAAATTGTCAGTAACAGTAAACAGTTATTGAGATTCGAGATAAATAATTCTAACATCTATTACAATTATTTGTTGTAAAAATGTCACATTTTAGTCAAACTGAAGTGTTCCCATCCTCATTTTTTAGTATTTTTTTTTATAGAAAATTTAATATTTCACATAACAAATAAAATAATCAAAGTTTTCTGATGAAAATTGGGTCTCAATTATCATTGGAATTCAAAGAATTTTTTTCTGATAATGAGTGGGAACCCTAATCCAGAAGTTTCCTTGTTTTCTGGATTGGGTTTAAAATTACAAGGCTACGGGGTAAAATCTTCGCTACTTTATTTCTCCAATGTTGGCCGACATGAAATAGTAATTTCATGAAGTGGTAGAATCTGATTAATAAATTATTTAATTCATAATTTATTTTCTAGAAAATGTCTAATATTAATTTTGAAATGAGTGTATCCAGCTAAAAACTGTTCTTTCTTTGTTTTCAGTTGATGGATTTTGTGTTGATGGAGTCGCGCTTATCGAGTTGGGAAGAAAAATCGCAAATGAGACATAATTTTTTCAAATCGTTAGAGAAGGCATCTGAGCAGTTTATTTCTAGTCTAGACTTCAGTAATTTAATCGATACTATATTTGCAAACATAAGAAAACATCCCCATAAAATAAGTCAATTTCTCCTCGATCTAAGAATACAATTGAGAGAAAATAGAACTCACGACCAGTGTGAAGTCGAATCACCATCGAAAAACAAAGTTATCAAGAATGTGCCCTCTGGAAATTCTGTTGTCTCTGAACCTGATTTTAAGAAACGAGAGACATTAGAAATGCCATCTCGGTCATTGTCTGATAAAAAAACTGAAAAAAATTTCAACGTTCATAATCTGAAAAAATCCGAATCTATGAAGTCTGAGAAAAAAGTACGTCTTTCTGCCATTCCGATATTATCAGCTGAGGAAGCTCAGAAGAAATTAGATGAAAAAATTTCAAAATTAGATAATCATATGGAAGTAAGTATGATTTATATTTGTACGATAAGATAATTTTGCAAAGTATTGTACAAATTAGTTTGGTCCATTTTTGTGTGGCCAAAAATGCATTTATTTCGGAACAATATGAAAGAGCAGATTAATTAAAGTATTGTCCATCGCTGGCTACTACTTTTTCCCACCTCTCAGGCAATTTTCGTATTCCATCTCGAAAAAATGTCTCTTCTTTTGAGGCGATCCAAGTTGGGAGCCAATTTTCGATTTCTGGTGAAGGAAGTGAACCAGTGACACCATTCATGTAACATTGAAACAATTCCCTACAAGATTTATCAGTTGGAGCATTGTCACCATAACATAGCTGCCAAGTGTGCAGATTTTATCGGAACGGTTCCGATTTTTATGCCTTGTTCCGTTAATACGATTTTGGGTCAAAATGTTCCGATTTTTTATCATAGCGTAATTTTTTCTTTTACTCTATAAAGCGATCCATGTCCGATTGGCGAAATCCAATCAAGTCGCGTTATCACTTAGCTCCACCTCTAGCTACATTCATATATTTGATGACGTATGTACAGGTCACTTCACAGACACCAAGAGGAAATTTTAGCTTCCTGACTCCTTGTCTTTTACTTGCAACCGTACAGGTGTTTAATGTTTACTCGGAACGCATCTTTTTGATTCGAGTTTAGCTTTGAATGTTTTTCCACGTGGTAATCTGAAAAAATGTCAAAAATTCGGCGAAGTCAGTGTTTTTGCGACAATTATAGTGAAGAATTTGATTTCATCAAAAAATCAAGAAAGGGGACATCGTACGCGTTATGTATTGCTTGCAATACAGACATTAGTATAGCACATGGCGGAAAGTGTGATATCATTTCACACGGGAAAACAGCCAAGCATGCTACCGCGTATACAAATATGAAAAAGTCTGCAAAAATTTNGGATTTCTCCTTGAACACAATATTCCGTTAGCTGCTGCGGACCATGCATCAAAGTTGTTTTGTGCGATGTTTCCAAAAAATAAAACTGAGTTTAGGGGTAGCATGAATGTGTCTACTTTGCAAGCAATTTTGATTTACCAAGTCCCAAATGATTCAGCCTTGTTATAGACAAGTGTTTGATGAAAAGTTTTTAAAATTAGCCAAATCTGCTACAACTGTAGCACTTAACAAGAAGAATTGATTATTTTGTTATATGTGTTTATTGTCACATATGTTTGAGTAATAATAAAATATTTTGTTTTTAAATATGTTTTAAATTACTAAAATCAGCTATCATTTCTATTTAATTAGTTTGTTGAATAATTATCAGAAATCTTGTCAGTTGATATGTATTACAATCAATAATAATTGTTACATTAAATCTTATACAGTTACAATTATGCAAACATTTAATGTAAAGAAGTAAACTTTAATGTCGCGATCGCGTGACGTGTTCCTATTTTTTTCCCTGGCAGGTATGCCATAAACTTCTACAAGCATTCAATGTGCTTCAGCTGCACTTTTCTTCCAATTAATGCGGAAACATAAATCCTCTCTCAAATGCTGCTTAATTACCGCTACACATTCAACAAAGTAAGAAACAGGGTTTTTGTAAGAAACTCAAAGCGATATCAAATGAATATTATTGACAGATGTCTAACCTCTCTAAAACCAGCTGTCACTACGAAACATTCATATCAGCCAGAGCCATTTTTGGAAAATGGACCGAACGAATTTATACTCCCAATAACTAGTCATTCTTGTGATTACTTTTTAGCAATTTGATTGTAACAGTTACAGCAACAGGTGACAAAAAAATAATAAATAAATAAATAGCATTACTTTGTTAAAAATGCATGAAAGAAATATACAAGCATGTCTACTCTTATTATAAATACATTAGTATGAAATATAAGTTAACATACTAATGTATTTATAATTCGTAATATAAGTTCTTTAAGTAATTATACTATTAAAAAAATATCACAAACAAACAAACAAAATTGAATTGTTTTTTAGATATCTTTATAAATGTAATTCTAATGCTTGTAAAACAATGCTAATTTTATTGTAAAATTGGTGTATTTTATTTGAAGGGGATTTCAGAAATATTTTCATAAAATTTAACTTTGGAAACAATTCAAATAAGGAAGGGGGACAAAACCTTACTCTGTAGCAAACGTCTGGTGGAATAAAAATATTCTTTGTCATATTTTCTTTGTAAATGTTACAATTGATATAGTGTAATTGGCTTTATTAGTAAGTTATAGCGCTCGAGATGAATTTTCTTGTCTAATGATCACTCACCATTTGATAGATATTTTTATTAAAATTAAAATAATAAAAACAATAATATTGACTTAAAATTATTATGTTGCAGATTCTCTTATCTGATCTAAAACAAACACTACTACACACAATTTCTCAGAATTTTCTTAACTTTTTTTAGAAAATAACAAAAATAATAATGTAGTTTTCGATCCAAAAAAAAAAATAATAATAATTCCTTTTTGTTGAAAAAATATTTAAAAATTATCTGGTGTAGCTAAGTTAGCATCATATTATTTATTTATGCCATATAATAAGAAAAGGGAAGAAAAAAAGGTTACTTATACATTTCTAGATAATGTAAAATTATTACTTCAAAAATCTGAAAAGCTCTTATTGCTAAGCAAATAATTATCCCAAAATTCCCAATGAAATTATTGTAAATGGTTTCAGAAATTTCTCTATATTATGAAATAAAAAGGAAATTTTTAAAAATCTTCTACATAAAAATGTTATCAATTCTGTGCTATAACTTAATATTATAAATTATTAATGTTGAATATTACAATTTGAGATAATCACAAATAGTTGGTAAAAATTATAATTGTTGTTGCCTACTTGTACAATAATGTTATCTGAATACCTCACTTTAAAATTGGCTATTTAAATATGCATAAACCTTTCTAATGAGTTCACCGTTACTTTTGAATTGTTTTGATTTTCATCTTATTCTACTATTTTAACATATTTTTTTTCTCAATTTTAAGAAACTACATAAAAAATTAAAGATACTTCAGGCAAAAGAATTATCACTGGATGACCTTAACGATGAGGACTCTACCTACATTCTAGAAGACAGATATAAAAAGAGGATACTTGAAATTCATAAAACATGGTGCAGATTGAAAAATCAATCGGCACGCTTAAAGTTTGAAATGGAAAGAAGATATTTTTTTAAAGGTAATGGTGCAAAGTTTACTTATAATTCTTCATTTAATCAATTTTCTTCATTTCATTACTATTTTGAGTTTCTTTTTAGTTCAACTCTGTGGATTCTTTTTGGGTTATAAGCATAATTTTATGTTTAGTAAAAGTCTATTCAATCCACGATAATGGAAATGTTTCAATGAGCTTGTGGCTTTAGTAATTACATAAATTAATGTTAAAATCGCAATGAAAAAGACTAGGGATTTTAATGGAATATTTTTTGAGGCCATTATTTGCATTGAAAGTTGATTTCAACAGTTAGCTGTCAAGAATGGTGAATAAAATAGTGAACAAAAGGCACATCCATTTGAAGTATGCTACAAAATTCCTGTATGTAGTTAATGTTGTGCCAAAACATTAAAAATTCAACCAGTAAAAACCAAAGTTTTGCTAAGTTGTTAAAATAAATTTAGTCTAGTTATTTTTTTTAAAGATAATATAATAAAAAATAGTAAAATTTAATAAAATACTTTATATTATTGTCACTTTTCTTGTACCCATTCTACACTATGGAAAGAAGAAAAAAACTTGCTAGCCTGGAAATTTTAAGATTTTTACTTGGAAAAATTATGGGAAATTTGAAACCTTCTTTGAGTGGCCACCCTGGTAGGGTCATTGATTTAAGGAAATCGTTATTGGTTTCTTCTTCTTTTCTTTGTCAGCGCAACAGCCAATTGCAGGCCTTGGCTGCCACAGCAACTGACAAATTCCAGTGTCTCCTATCCATGGCAACTCCCTTCCAATTTCTATTCTTTTGGATTTTCAGGTCATTTTCTATGTTGTTGAGCAATCTAGTAGATGGTCTGCCTCTGGGACGTCACCCCTTGGGGTTCTTAAAGGTGACCATTCTCATGGCACTATTTTCAGGGTTTCTGCATACTATGGGTTTATTTCTTGGAGAGTTTATTTCTTATACTATGGATTTGTTTCTTAGTTTTGTCGTTTAGATTGTTAAATCGATGTAACCTAATATTGTGATAAAAAGAAGGTTTGATTATAAGTTGTTGAAAAAAATTCCGAATTATTTAATACTGAGTTTAAGTATGTATATTCAATTAAATTTTTTTAAATAGTTCAAGTAGAGACAACTTTATCCAAAGAAAATTTATCTTTCTACTTTCAAGTTATAATATTTATGCTTTTAATTTCTTTCATACTCTGTTGTAAAATTCTGTGCCCTTTTTTTTTTAACATTTCTTTTTGTTTCCTCTAGGAACTAGATATCATGAAATCAATCAAGCTGTAGAGAATTTAATTAATAAACGGAAAAAAGTTGATAAGTTTCCAAGTTATGTAGACATCTTCAACCTAGTGAAAGCAACTAATGAATCAATCAATCTTGGAATAAAAGAGTCTGAATATTCTAGTTTAGGTCAGTATAATATGTATATTACCTGAGTTAATAATTTATATATGTCAATTATTTCTAGTCTAGCTCATTTATTCTTTCTTTCAAGTAATTTCTGAATTAATTTTAATTGTTTATTATTCAATAGTTTGCAATCTAGTGCATACCTGCCAAATCTAATTTTTTTTTTTAGCAAAGACTCTTGTGTTTTAAGAGTATTTCCTGTTCACCCGTATATTCTCGAATTTCATTGATTTTTTAAAGAATTCCTCAACTGATGGCACTATCATCAGTTCTTGTGCAGCCGTGTCGACCAGACCGGATGTAGTGAGATTGCTGCTATGACTCGTTTATTCAGTGAATAATTTTACCTATAAAAATCTAACAATAATTTCATTTTAGCAGCGATGACTCAGGTGGTAGAGTGTTCGCCTTCCAACGAGGTGAACCCGGTTCGATCCCGGCGATGGGTGGTCGATAAGAATTCCACATCCGACTTGAACCGACCACAGTGCTGACGTGAAATATCCCAGTGGATCATGGGTTAGAGTCCCCTTGCCATCAGGCTAACAGTGGGAGGTTCTCGTGGTCTTTCTCTCTATGTAACACAAATGCCAAATGCGGGTTAGTTCCATCAGAAAGTCCTCAAGGAAGGCAAATTTCTCCTACTACTTGATCCAGGAATTTCCTTGTCTTCTGGATTAGGCTCAAAATTACAAGGCTACACAAGGAGCATTAGTAGCCGTAAACCAAAAAAATTGGGTTGGCTGTTCAACGATGGTTATAATGTAAAATAAAATAATTTCGTTTCTTTGCATTGTATTTTTACTGATCGTCAAAATGTAAATGTTTCTTAATCATTTATTGTAGGTGTTAGTTGTGCAACTAAAAAATTAACTGTATTCTTTTTTTTTTTTTTTTTAAAGACAGTTAAAAAATATAGCTGATGTTATGTTAGGTATACTGTAAATTCTGTTTAGCAATACAGAGCGCAAGAAAATTTTCTCTTAAGTTTAAAAATTAGTTCATCACTTGCTGTTGAAAAGTAATTTCCTTTGTTAACTGTTATGAACAGAGCTTTGATTAAAATTTTGTATGCAAAGCTAAATAAGCTACTTATGTTCGGAAAATGTAAAAATTCTGTAAAATAAGGCTAATTACTTGTTATTATGAAAATTGTGTTTGTAGTTTAAGTAACTATGAATAATGGTTTTTAAAAAAAAATTTCATGGTGTGTAGCGTTTTTAAGAAGTGCTTAAAGGTGCTTCTTTTCGATTTTTGTTTTTTAAAAGCCCTTAAAGGTGCTTCTTTTCGATTTTTGTTTTTTTAAAGCCCTTAAAGGTGCTTTTTACATTCGGTGTTTTTAAACAGTGCTTAATTTTCTCTTATTGAAAATGAGATTTTTTTCTTTACCATACCGATTTTCACCACGTATTATGCAAAGCCGTGCTTTTCACGCTGTTCTATTAAAAGTTTTTGCAATTCATTCAGCCAATATCTATTCCAACTTACTGTCGGTCGATTGCATTAAGCCAATCATTTTACTGATTTGATGAAATACTTGCGAGTCCGCATGCACATATATGAGCTGGATTCGGTTCTTTATAGTCAATTGGAAACAGTAGCCAATATTGTAATTATTTCGATTCAATTAAGAAGTAAATAATTGCAGAAAAGGGCCACTAGCTAGAGTGTTCAACGTTCAACTCGATTTCTGTGCAAGAGGCAATGCAAGTTACGATTATTTTTTAAGTGTAGTATGCAAATTTTATTTCTAATCAAAATTTCAACTATTTTCTGGCAAATAAATTTCAAAAATTACAAAATAGAAGTGCAAAAATAAAAAAAATTAGAAAAAAAAAACAACATTTGAAATATGCAACAAGGGCTTAAAACTCTTCAATGCAATACTAGTGGTTAGAATTCTTGAGTTAATTTTTGAAATAAAGGAAAATCAAATGCATACACTATTCTTTAAAATGAACTAATATGCATATGTTGCACCTATTTTTAATTGCTTCATGAGTTGGCAGTTGTAAAGCAATTATTATTTTGATTATATCATTTTGCAGTATTATTTTAGGTGGGTTATATTGTATATATTAAACATGATCATAACGTTTTTAAAAAATGCTTAAAGATACTTATTTTCGTTTTTTATAAAAGCCCTGAATGGTGCTTTTTTCGGTGGTTTTAAAAAGTGCTTAATTTTCCCTTTTCAAAAATTTTATTTTTTTCTTTACCATATTAATTTTTGCCACATATTATGTAAAAGCCTGCTTTTCACATTGTTCCGATCAATGTTTTCACAATTCATTCACCTACAATCCATTTCGGTGTGCCGTTGGTCTGTAGTGTATGAAAGCGATAATAATTTTACATGTTTGATGAAATACCTGCCTTTCTGCATGTGCGTCTACTGAGCTGAGTTCGATGAGATTCTAGCACTCTCATGTGCAACTCTGCTGCATTTTGCAAGGCATTCTCAATTTTAGGCTTCATTTTCCGCCTTCTGAAATTGAACCAAGAATCTATCAATCTTTTTATGGTGGCCAATATTATAAAGAAAGAGTTCTTTGTCAGAAACTAGTTATTTTATCATGATCAGACGAAGTGTTTGAAATTATTTTTGCATTTTTTTAAATGTATATGGTGTTTAAAAATATTTTTTGAGTGCTTGTAAAGTAATTAAAAGGCGCTTATTTTTTGTTGAAGGATTTCACTTTGCATCCTGTTTGTTAAATTATTTAAATAAAGTAAATTTTTTTCTGGCCTTCCTTTTTTTTCTAACCCATTTTCTGAAAAATTTAAAAGCTCTATGTTTCATAATAGTGTAAATGTCAGTCACTTTTTGATCAATACAAACCGAATTCTTCATCTCAGGGAGGGAATTAAGTGTCAACTATCTGTAGACTAAGATCTGTAAATTAAGTGTAGACTATCTGTAATGCGAAAACTCACATTTCAACTGTGATCAATGGACGCAAATTTTATTGCTATTTCATCGGAAATCAAAGTTTTTACCGCTCTCTAACAGAGGAAAATTAAATTTACTGAGCGAAATGAAATCTAATTTTTTTATCTATATATTTGAAACAATGGTCGCCAAACTTGCATAGATTCTGAGATACTGCACCATTTTTAAATCCCATTGTGAATTACTAACCTAAAGAACTATCAATTTTATTCGGAAAAAAAATATTGCGTTTGGTTTATCAGCTTAGTGGCGAAATCAAGGTCACTGGAGTGTTAATTTGATCTACCGAAAATGTCCCTACTCGGGTCCGATGGTTTGGTGATTATTGGTTTTAGCATTGGTTATGATTTGTCTACAAAAGTCTTATATCATGTTATTGTTTTTTCTCCATGCTTGTTTTTACTTACATCCTGTCTACAATTTGTGACGTACGTTAGGGCAATCCAGTGAATGTCTCACCCTTTGTTTTGCAGCTCGTGATATATTTGAAGAAGTTGGTAATGAATTGAAAAAGAGGCGAAGAAAGGACGAAGAGTATAATTTTGGTTGTTACTTAACAGATGATGTTAAATTGGAAGAAGATCCTGCTGAAGGAGATGAAGAATTAAAGATGAAACTAACAAATAGTGTGATTCAAGGAGAACAAAAGCTCAAAGAAGTATGTCTATTTTATAATAAATATTTATGCTGAAGACCCTTAAATGAGCCTTTTTTTTATCTGCGTGGTATAGTTTAGGCTTATTACAATCAGCCAGCTGCTCTAAGGCTAATTAGGAAAGTGTGCACATGGTGCATAGCTTTTTTAAAAAGTGCTTAAAGGTGCTTATTTTCGATTTTTGTTCTTAAACAACCCTTAAAGGTACTCTTTTCATTGGGTGTTTTTAAAAAGTGCTTTATTTTATCTTATCAAAAATGAAATTTTTTTCTTTACCATGTCGATTTTTGCCACGTATTATACCAAAACGTGCTTTTCACATTGTTCTATTCAACATTTTCAAAATTCATTCAACCATAATCTATTTCAGAGTACCGTCAGTCCATTGCGTATGAAAGCGCTAATCATGTTACATGTTTGATGAAATACTTGTGGGTCAGCATGTGCGTCTACTGAGCAGGGTTCAATCTCTCATGTGCACCTCTGCTGCATTTTGCAAGATATTCTCAATTTCAGGCTTCATTTTCCACCCTCTGATATCAAACCGTAAAATCTCTCGATCTTTTTCTAATGGCTAATCAGGGGTCTGTCCAGGCCGAATTTACTACCGTTTAGCGGTACCTTCACAAAAGTCAACTTTAGGAAAAACGGTAGTTTCACAAATTCAATTTTAGGAAAAACGGTAGTTTCACAAAATACTTTTTCTTAAAATTTTATTTTTGTATCCCTTAAGAAACGATAAATACATATTTTTGTGTTGATTTTTTAATATAATTTTTAATTTTTCACAAATTATGTCTAAATTTTCACAAAATAGGTACCTCTCTGAAAAACCTAGACAGACCCCTGCTAATATAATCAAGAAAATAGTTCTTTGTCAGAAACTAGTTAGTTTATCATGTTCATGTAAAGTCTTTGAAAATTATTTTGCATTTTGTTAATGTATATAGTGCTTAAAAATATTTTCTGAGTGCTTAAAAAGTACTTAAAAGGTACTTATTTTTTGTTGAAATATTTGGCTACACACCCTGTATAAATCTTTAACAAGGCTATTTACTTCCATGAGCATTGCAACTGGGGAGCGTTTACTAAAAAATTGATACTGCCACTTTAACCCAGATTTGGGGTTTTAAACATATTAAACTGTATTTGGACAGGGCACCTGTGTTTTACTGTCTTAAACTGTCCAAAATCTTGAACATTGTTAAAAAGTAAAAATTCTAGATTTGTAACCATTGTACACATAATAAGTACATATATTAATAAATATTTGATACTTTTTATCCAATTTACTTTAACTTATTAAAGGAAAATAATGTAATAGGAAAAGATTTATAACTTTTGAAGCTGCACAATTCATTGAATAACAAAAGTGAATACCTTTAAATATGAATAAATATGCTTTTAATACTGATAAATTATGTTTTTGCCTAAGGATAAATAATACAACATTAAAAATAATAATAAACTTTGATAAAAACAAAAAATTGTCTCCATTTTGTTTCTTGTTCAAAAGTTAACCTTTTATTTTTACCAATATTTTTTAAAAATTGTGACATAATTTGCATAAAAGAGTTTTGAACAGGAAGGTTTTATCCATTCTCTACTAAATCTTGCCAACTCTGCTTTAACCTTTTTCTGAAATTAGCATTGAACAAAATCAGATTCATCAAAATATAAGGGATAACCGCAATAGTTTATTCAAGAGGGCAGACGAAAGTTATTATTAAGTTCTTTTAGGCAAAAATAATACATTTAAAATAATTTTCAATATTTATTTGCTGTGTTTTATTACTTTATTTGATGACAATCGAAAAATTAAAAACTGCATACAATTTTTACATAACCTTAAAATAGTAAATATAAAATTTTAATGAAATCGGTTGAATAGTTCACAAGATTTTAAATGTGATATTTTATATAATATTTTTAATCTATACATATTGTTGAATTAACTTATTATTTCTGATATGAAATTTTTGTAAAACAATATAATTTAATCCTAACAAGTGAACATTATGGTGCTACTGGAAAACAAGAAGAAGTGCACCTTTTTGCCTTAAAAGTAGGCTTGTCAGTTTGACAAGTGGCATAAGACAACAACAACAATCCTAGCAAAAAGACAAAAAAAGTGGCTATTATATGAACAGGACCTATCGATATTTTTTACCAACTCATTTCAGTTGGAGGAAAAAGTGGCTACCCTCTTGACACAGCGACTTGGTCACAGAACGTTCCCGAGTTCTTGCAGAAAGAGTTTTCCTTTTGGAAATAGAAAATTTTGCTTTTCTTGTCTGCAGAAATTTTCGAAAGATTTTTATCTTTTGACAATTGTATTCAAAAGATGCCTTTCTCGCCCATCGAAGTGAGGAATAAAATGCTCATGATTTTCCTATCGTCATTTGGGAATAATGAAAAATAAAAAATAATGAAGTAAAAAATTTGGTTTTCTTTTATATAGTTATTTTCAGTCTATTTTTTCATGCAGTTATTAGATCTGATTTCCTCATAGCTTTAAAAATCCGATATTATTTATTGCAACAATTGAATCTCGAAATTAAAATACGCATTTAGTAACCCCTTTCTGTAGAGTCCGATTCGTGTGATTTCGTCGTCGATCTTTTTTTTTTTTTCCCCGGTAGTTACTGTTACAGATTTCATTATTTTTTTTTTTTTTAATGTGATGATCAATTACAAAATGCAAGAAAGGAAATAATTAATGTGTTATCTCTCTACGAAATGCAACAATATCGCCCTTAATATTAGAATTAAGAAAATATCACATATTCAATTAAAAAAATAATTTTATTTGATAAAATTTTTTTTTTTATTTATTTATTTAAAAAAAAAATTTTTTGTTGAAATTAACGCTTTTATTACTTTAAATTAGTAACAAATATCTTTGTTATTCTTAAATATCCTGTAGAAAGATATTAGTATTGGAAAGATATGTTGCAGAAGGCCTAAAAAAATTCTGCTACAGGGGTGTTACTCAATTATTAGAATCCACTGGCTAATAACTAAAAATTATAATTTTCAGTTCTACGGAGCTCTGTGTCAGTACAAGTTACTATTGCTAGCAAAAGTGTTTTGCCATTTTTATCACCAATCAAAAATTTTATGACTTTCCGTGAACAACTGACTGACAGATAACTAAAAATAAGATAATTATAAATTTTAAAAAATACATTTTTAATGTAAACTGAAAAAGAAAAAATAAATCTTTTTTTTCATCAGACTGGAAAAAAAAAAGGACTATTGAAAAACAGGGGTGGATAAAAGGATGGTGATAATAAATTTGTTGCAAAAATGATACTCCCTAGATTTTTAGTTTGATAAAAGCAAAATTATTTTTGTCTATTTAAGTTAGATATTTGATTTATTTTATTGTTTTTAGTTAGTTTAAATATTTAATTTGCTCTAACTAGTACTTGAGTAAGATAGTTGAACATAGTGTTCCTTTAATTTGATAACAGAAATTCCAGACAAATTTTTTTCTAATTTTGATCTAACAGGGTGCGTTACGTTTTTAAAAAGTGCTTCACCTTTTTGGGATGGGCGAGTCATAAATATATTCATATAGAATCAGAAACAGGGTGGAAAAAAATAAAAAGTGATAGCTTAAGTTTCGGCATGGCTAATTTAACAACCTTATTTTTGCTTTCACTTTAAATCTAATGCATACAATTTATGTTTGTTTAAAGTGTAACTATATGCTTTTTAATTTGAACTACGTCTTGGTGATATTAATAACGGAAACTATTATCACCCCACCCACAAACCAACTGCAATAAAAATAAATAGGCTACAGTTTTATCTTTCTTACTGTGATTTTCGCCACCCTGAAAATGCATATATGACTCGACTCTCTCGATGAGGTTAAAGGTGCTTATTTTTTATTTGCATTTTTAAACGCTCTTGAAGGTGCTTTTTTTTTATTCGGGGTTTGTAAAAAGTGCTTAATTTTCTATCTTTTGAAAAGAGATTTTTTTTCTTTGCTATGTCAGTTGTCGTTCTAAATAACAAAAAATACATGATTTTCACAATTTTCTCTGCAATTTTTATCAGAAACTAGTTATTATATCATGATTATGTGAAGTTTGTGAAAATGTTTTTGAATTTTATTGATTTTATGTTCATAAGTTAAGAACTTTTAACTATAGAAAAAAATAATTTGTATTACTGCACAGATCCTAATTATGATTTTTTTTAAAAAAAGTGCTTAAAAGTACTTTTTGACTGCTTAAAAAAAACTTAAAAGGTGCTTATTTTTTGTTGAAAAATCTGGATATGCACCTTGTCTAAGCATTGATACAATTTTTGTAGTGTGTTGATTTATAGATAAGAATTTATCAATTGTGTATTTTTGACTTAGTTGCTTCTTTATTTCATAAGCTTATTGAAAAATATGCTGCACAACAAGAATCTGTAGGAAGTGAAGAAGAAGCAAACGTAGAAGAGGGAAGTGAACAAGAAGAAGCAAATGCTGATGATGTAAGTGAACAAGAAGAAGCAGACAACGAAAGTGAACAAGATGATGCAAATGACAAAAGGGAACAAGATGATGCAAATGCAGAATATGATGATGACAACTTGCCATCCACAAATCCTGCCACTCCAACTGCTGAAGGTAATATTTAGTTCAGAAGTTTTTATTTGTAGCAGTTATACTTCGTTTCACTTCAAGTTAGCACTTCAAGAAATGTAATACTACGCCTTTGAAAAGTAGTTCTTCTTTATTTTTGAATTAATTACAGTTTAAATGTGCGTACAAATATAAATATATGTGGTATAGTAAGAAATGTGTATAAACAAATTAATTTTACAATAGCGAAAACTTTACAGAAAAAAATATGGTTTCTTTATATAAAAAAAGAACAGTAAATATTATAAAACATACATATGATCTTTTTCATGATCAATGATATCTTGCCTATATTGCCTTAATTGAAATTTATGAATTTGTAAAATAAGAAAAGGTTGCATACAAATAATAAGTATCTGAAGTAAAGTATTTACGTGCATCTGTGTATAATATATATATTTTTTAACTTAGATTTAATTAAAAAATTATCTTTTTAAATATAATTTTGTTTCATTTAAAATAAGTTTCGCTTAGTTAAAAAATATTCATAAAAAAGTCTATTTTTTAAAAGTCATAATAAGGATATCTGATATTTAAAAATTATAATAAGAAATCAGTTTACAATTAGTATCACAAATCAATTATTAGGAATGCTGGAAAAAAAATCTTGTTCTTTTCTGTATTTTGCTCAAAGTTTGAGGAAGATTCTGGTAAAAAAGAGAGAAAAAATCAGTGCTTTGTTTTTTTTAAATGCCAGTATTAGCCACTTTTTCTCCCTTTTTGTTACTTCATACCCCAACTGTCTTAGAGCAACCCAGTTACCACGACAATGGTTGCAATCTGGTTTACCTGCCTTTCTCTCCAGTGCCAACTTGAGGTGAAACGGAGTATAGTAATATAGTAGTTTTTAGATTTTCGTTATTTGAAATTCATACTAAGAATTTTAATACTTTTCAATTTTTCATATTATAGCTGCTGCAAAAATGCTGAGTAAGTTTACCTAATTTTCAACTTTTAAGAGCTAGACATTATCCATGAGTCCATACACTCTCAAAAAATCCAGGGCAAGCAAAGGGTCTGTCGCGAAAGACTCATTAGAAATGCGAAGACAAGCCAGAATGTGCTCCCGGGATGCACTTTGCACAAACCGGGAAAACCCTATTGCCATTGCTAAAGAAGCCACTCTTCAGGTGGCCGCTGGCAAATCTCGACAGCGCTGTCTGGTCGGCTCTATTGCAGGAAAGGCCAATGGAGCCCCCAGGATCAATACCAATCATCTGCCAATACCAATCATAGGATGAAGGGACCCTCCAAGACTTGTTTTTCCTGATGGAGTAATGCTCGTCAAAAGTCAATGAGGCAACTGAATACAATGGCTCAACTGAGCCCTGCTTTGGCATTTTGTAAATTATCATCACGTTTAAAAATCATGAAATCCTTAGTAGTAATTGCTGAAAAAAAGGTCGACAACAAAATCACGCAAATCGGACTCCCTTCTCGAAATTAGGTTATTGTAATAAATAATATTGTGTAAAAAATATCGGATTTGAGAACTATGGAGAAATCAATAACTGCCAAAAATACAATTGAAACATTACATCAATTTGAAATACTAGCGCTGTTAATTGTGCGCGTCGAAAAATTCTTATCTAAATGCACAATTCAAATATTACGTGTCAAATGTTACCAAATATTACTTTCTGCAAGAATTCTGTATCGTTCTACGACAATGTTACCACAATTCTGCCACGGGGAAACTAATTAACCTTTATTATTATCCCTAATATAAATGACCTAGAAGTTATTATAAGTTCATTTTAATGCATTTTGAAATATATACATACTTAATTATTGTGGGCCGCCTAATTTGTGTACAATAAATTCCTTTGGTAGGGTACTAAAGTATATTATATTAAAAATAGCTGACCGAGTTTGAATATTATAAGTTAATACTTTTCGTTTTTATCACAGTAGTACATTTTTTTAAAATCATTTCTGTAATCTTAACTGAAAAAAGGATATTTACTAATTTTATAAAAATAAATAAATCGAAAATAGTTTAACAAAGCTAACAAAAATATTATAAAAATTGATATTTGGAAATAGGCATTGAAATTCACAAATTTTTGATATAAAAGAATATTATTTTCAAGGTCATATACAATAAATAAATAAATGAAAATAAATTACTGAGAAATATGAAAAAATTTTCAATATTAGTTTTTTTTGTACTTTTAAATAAAATTAAAAAAAACTTATATAGACTATGCCAATTTAAGTTGAAGAAAATATAAATAACCCCATTTTGTTCTATTTTCTGTAAAATTGGCCCCTTATAGATTAGGATGTTCTGGACACCCACAAAAATCCAGACAAAGGACAAAATATTTTTATGCGGAAAATCTGAATAACGGCGAACCCGGTTATATAATATTGCATGGTTAAATGACAGAAAAATGTTTTATCCCTGAAAAGAAAAATCCTTTAGCCTTTCTGCAAGAGCTCAATTGCGTTCTGCAACAATGTCGTCATGTTGCCCATGATTCTGCCCAACGGGCATTGAGAGTGGCCAGAAATGATATACAGTGGTTAAAGGCTAATGCTGTGTGCTTGAGCGGATAAAGGAGAATCATTAAGTTTATTGTTGTCTTTTTGAGGGAGAAAAATAGTAACTTCGGTAAGTCATTAAAAATTCTTGGAATGAGTCATGGTTTTGAAAATCTAATATGTAGCAGCTACCCTGCCTGTAAGAATTTTTTTTGTTTTTGCAATAATAGAATGTTAGTTATTTAGTCATTATAAGTATACTGTTTTTGAATCTTTAACATTATCAGTGACTTGTAGGGTGCGTAGCGTTTTTAAAAAGTGCTTAAAGGTGCTTATTTTTGATTTTCGTTTTTTAAAAGCCCTTAAAGGTGCTTTTTCCTTTTCCATTGGGTGTTTTTAAAAAGTGCTTAATTTTTCCTTTTTCGAAATGAGGTTCTTCCTTTACCATGTTGATTTTCACTACGAATTATGCAAAACGACACAGTTCACATTGTTCTATTCAACGCTTTCACAATTAATTCAATCTATTTCGGCATATTGTCAGACTGTAGCATACAAAAATTTCCATTCGTTTTACATTATTCCAAGTTTCATGATATTTGACAAATGTAAAAAACAATGCCATAAGTTTTTTTTTTATGACGGTTAAAGCAAGATAAAACCGTCAATTGTCGAAAACTTTCCAACCCTGCCTAATTATGATATTTTTTTTAAGTGCTTAAAAATATTTTCTGAGTGCTTGAAAAGTGCTTATTTTTTGTTGAACAATTTGGCTACACACCTTGACTTGGAAACCTGTCATAATAGTAGACCTTGTGGCAGAATTTTTTCTAGCTATCTGCGACAAAACCGTCTAGCGCTAATATCTTTCTGCGAGATAGTTTTAATAATAACAAAAATATATTGTACTTATTTAGAATAACAAAAGCGCTGTTTTTACAACAAAAAAAATATATATAATGTTTTTTAATTGAACATGTAATTTTTACTCTAATATTATATCTCACATTTTTTGGAGGGGGGGGGGGGACACACAAATTATTTTCTTCCCATTTTGTAAATAAACATCACAATAAGAAATAATTATCGTGAAATTCGGGCACCTCAAACTCGTGTTTTGTTTCAGGATTAAGCTGTTGTCATAAATAATATCGTATAGAAAATATCAGATTTAAAAACTATGGAGAAGTCAATAGCAGTAACTGATCAAATTCGATAGAATTATTGCCTTAAAAAGTAAATACTCGAATGCACGATTCGAATTTTCCATGTTGTCTATCGAAATATTTAAAATCCGCATGAAAATCAACATCAATAACTGACGAAAATACAATCGAAACATTACATCGATTTACGATACTACTGGTGTATATTGAACATGTAAAAAAGTCATTATCTAAATGCGCGATTCAAATATTATAGGTAAATTTCTGTCAAAAAAATAAATATAGGTAAATTTTTTTTTTTACTTATCAAACGAAAAATCTTTCTGCAAGAACTCTGTAACGTTCTGCGACATTGTCACCGCGATTCTGCCGCGGGGCTAGTAAATTATTTATCTTTTATTGTATCATTAATATTTTATTTATTTTTTAGAGCCAGGTGAACCAACATCCATCATTCAGAAACGCGACATCAACGTGGTGACTGTAGGTTCCGACTCGGATGTGTCTACCGATCCCGGATTTCATATTGAAAAGAACAATTTTAATACCACCCTTACTGTAGATAGTGACAATTCCTGTGATCTTCCTCCTATAGATATCCCATTTTATTAGGGATAATATGAAATATAATCCCATTTTGATGAAAAAAAGTTTTTTAATAGATATTTTCTATTTTTATATATCTATTATTTTTGTATATATAATGTAAAGTGAATCATAAAAGTCATATGCTGTTTGTGTATCATATAATTATAAAACAATCTTTGTTGGTGTGATAAAATGTTTATTAATTTATTGAATTAATTCATTTAAGTTTGGATGTTTCATTTATAGTTTCTATGGTAAGTAATGATAACTATTTTAGTGGACATATTTTTTATACTATTTAAAAATATCTCGGGGGTCTGTCCGGGCCAAATTTACTGCCGTTACCTTCACAAATTCAACTTTAGGAAAAACAGTAGTTTCACAAAATACTTTTTATTAAAATTTTATTTTTGTATCCTGTAAGAAACAATAAATTTATTTTTTTGTGTTGATTTTTTAATATACTTAGCTGCCAACTCTACTGGATTTTGCCAGTTTGTCCTGGTTTAATAAAAATTCTCCTGGTTTTTATGCATTTTAGAAAATTCGCTAACATTAAGTAGTTTCATTTAAAAAAAAATCCCTATTGAGATTATTGCTTGCTTGAATATTTAATTGTCACTAATAAAGCGAGCCTCATTAACAAAATTCAGTTACTTATCTTTGAATTAAATTACTATTCAAAATTATGTACAAACATAATGCATTACATTTGAAGACCATCTAATGTGAAATCATAACTGGAAAATATTGCAGTTTTTCTATTTCTATAAAATTCCCTTTGTGCAAAATATTTAGTATATTTTGCAACAATTCTCATGAAATTTATATTATTTCGTAAAATCTATTGGATTTCATTCTATCTGTGTTGGCAGTTATGAATATAATTTTTAATTTTCAGAAAAACCTAGACAGACCCCTGTATCTATATTCAATGTCACTATAATTATTATGTGCCGTTAACCAAGGTTAATTTGAACAACCTTTTTCGTAATTTCACTAACGTATTTAATAAAAAATATAACAATATCCTTAATTCAGTTTTCACCAATTAACTAAGTATAAAGAAATCAACTGTGCAATTTGTTTGCATAATTTCCCCCCTTTTATATTTTTTGCTATTTATAAAATTTTGGTCCTAAGTAGGAGATACTTTTTCAGGTTACTTTTGCTCAAGGTCTCTTTCGACTTATTTTATTAAAATTCGCACATAAATTTGCTAATAAAATGTCCCTACATTATCAGCAATATGTATATATATGCATGTATGTGAGTGTTAATAAAAGAAAAGAAAAAAAATTATAATAATAAAATCTTATAAAATTTTTTACAAAAATATTTAAGAATTTTATTAATGTTTCTAACTTACCCCTTGCCTCTCTGAGTGCATGACCTGCCTTATAATACTTCTGCTGGTATATATATTTACTATTAAAAATTATGACATAGTTGAGTTTTTACGAGTCACAAATATTGCTGTTTATTTAAATTTTCATTCGTTAATATAGCAATGTTTTTGTATAATGTCTAGCATTCCCTACCTGTGGAATACTAAAATTTACTGGATTCTTTTATCTTTCTTGTATTCACGTTATGAAAACATTGCAATTGCTTTATTTTTTTTACTTTTGTTATGTTGTAACATCCCCATCCATTGTCAAGGTTTTCTGTTAAAAATGTTCAAATTCTTGTGTATTTATTTCAGCGTGATATTTTAATATCATATATGGCTGCAGACCAAATTATTTAAAAAAATTTTTAATGTTTTTAATTGAAAAAAACTTATGCTTATAATTTACATGATTAGTGAAACATTTTTTGACTAGCCAAAATGTATAGAGTGTTTATTTATTAAAAGGACGCCATACTGTGAAAGAAAATTTTTATCGCAAATTTTCTTTCTCCTTCATTACTAGTTTAAAGTGAAGAAAAAGCAAGTTCAGGCAAACCTAGAGTAAGTCATGATGTTTCAATTGCTGAAAAAAATACTTCAAAATATTAAGATGCAAACAAATTATTACAAGATAACTCCATTGCGTAATACTAAGCTATTATCTCGTAATTTATTTTCATCTGTATATTTTAAAATTTTCTCTTCAGTATTTGCACTAGTATTTAATACTTCATGGCTTACTCTACGCTTGTCTGAACTCACTTTTTCTATACTTTAAATTTTATGTTATTAATGTAAGAGAATTTGCGGCCCAAATTTTCTTCTGCGGTATGGAGTCCTCTCAAGCCACCAGAACTGTATCAAATGTGTTTTTAAATCTTGAGTAATTTGTTGGATACCACAAATGTTTACCTTTAATTATTCAAAAATTGAATATTTCTTTAGTTTCAATTTCTGATCATTGTTCTTCTCAATTGTGTTCCTTTTTCTAATCTTGAAAACTATATTATCTTTACTGTCGCAGGTATAAGCTTTGACTTAAATGAATAACTCCAAAACTGTAGCAAAAAGAATTCTATTTGCAAGAACATTTATGAAAACATTATTTATTTTCTCCGCATATTGGTTATTCCCATTTTGTCCCGATTATGATAATTTTTGCACTCAAATCATTGTTGATTTAAATAAGAATTTTAATATGGAATGATAAAAGTTGTATTTTTTTTAAGTGGATAAAAGAGATAAGAGTTTAATTTATACAGAAGGAAATACTTGTATATTGAACCTTTTTGTGTTCATAAACTATTTATTGTTTTTTAATAAAATAAAATAATCTATGATTTGCTGAAAAGCATTCTGTTCAGAAACTGAAATTTTTATGTGTATTAATCTGAAAAGGTTGTTAAAAAAAAAAAACTGCTTAATATTTGAATTGGCTATTGTTAATATATCAAAATATATGCTACAGTGCTTGAAGTTCTAGAATTTTTCAATTTTCATTTATAATTCATATTAAATTTTATTTGTTTCAATTTACAATTTATGAAAGAATAGTTTTAATTATTTTAAACCTTTTATAAAGATACTATGCAATTAAATACTATGATACTGTTACTACAAAATTCCAAATAAAGGGACACCATTATTATTGTGTAGTTATTCCATCATTTTTATTTTCGTATTTCATTTGGAAGTCATTAAAACTGTTACAAAGCAAAATTAAATATATTTTCTGCACCTATTGATTTGTTCATATTTTATCTCTATTTTGTACTTTATAATATTTTCTTCATCACACAATTTTTTTTGTGAAGGATATAGCTTAATTGTTTTCTCACATCAAAAAAAAAAAAGTCCTGAAATTGTGTAAGCAGATATGATTAAAATTTCTTTTGCAGTTAATATCACTTTTTTTTTAAAAAGTTACATGGGTTTTTAAACTTTTATAAAAAATAAACAATAAAACTAATCAAAAATATTTTCTCAAAGTTTTCAATCTGTAAAAAAAAAAAAAAAAAAAAAAAAAACTGATAGAAAAAACCTTTTTAAACTAATCTGATAAAAAGAGGTGATGACAAAAGGATTGAAATCAGTTATAAAATTTAATAAAAGATTGTAGAAAGTTTTTCATTTTATTTAAGTCTGCTCATTTTGTGTCAACGAAAAAAATCAGGACATTAGCAAACAAGAAAAAAGATTATTCTCGTTAGAACAGAGAGTTTTGATAGTTACCAGTACAATTTTATTAATGGTACACTTAACAATTCACTATAATGCAGATAACAGATCAATATATAATAAGTTTTATAGTATACTGTTACATTAATAAAATAACGAGTATCAATTAGTCTCTCATACCCATTTTTAATTAAAATTTAAAAACAAATTCAAGTTTTCTCAAATCAAATAATTTTAGATTATGGCTATATTAACCTCAATTCATAGTTAACAGTAACATTTTTATACAAAAATAATGTAGTAGACAGCAATCTTTCAGTTCAACAGTCTGGAAAACGAGTTGTACATTGAAATCAATCATTTTTAAATCAGAACAAAGAGACAAATCAATAATTATTAAATGGATCAATAATAAATCAATCAATAATTGTAAAAAGTGTCTGGTTCTTGAACATACTGAAATAAATATTTAACAAGATCTGATAATAATTATGTTATAATTGTTGATATTGGATAATTTACAAGAATTGCAAATTATTCAATTATCAAATCCATTGTAAACAATCCGATTGTACTGGATAGTTTACAAGAATTCATTTGCATAAAGAATAGTAAGCTGGCCAAGTCAAAATGAAATTTAAGGCCTTGAGAAATAAAAATAAAAAAAATTGTAAGGTTTTCAAAGAAATAAAAGGATGTTTCAGCTTGAAAAAAATTAATAAGGCACTTAATTCTAAGACTATAATTAAGTACTTTTTAGGGAGCATGTACTAAAATGAAAAATTTTAATATCTATACATAGTTTCATATTTTACTTCATTTTAGTCTAATCCTCATTTTAATATTTGTATAACCATTATATTTAAGCTAAATTTTATCGACTAAAAATATCAATATAATAATTTTCAGCATCATTAATGATAAGTTAGTATTCCAAATCTATGCAAATCTTATCTTTAATTGTTCTGTATCTATTTGAAAATAAAACAATTAATCAATAAAAAGCTTAAATAAATAGTTTAATTTATAATAAAAACTGGATTTTAAAAAATGAATTTTAAAAAAAATAAATTTATGAGATTTCTGTCAAATCAAATATATTTAAACTAAATTTTATCCACTAAAAATATCAATATAATAATTTTTAGCATCATTAATGATAAGTTAGTATTCCAAATTTATGCAAATATTAACTTTAATTGTTTGATATCTACCTTAAAAATAAAACAATTAATAAATAAATGGTTTAGTTCATAATTAGAAACTGGACTTTAAAAAAGAAATTTAAAAAATAAATAAATAAAATAAACTTATGAGATTTTTGTCAGATCAAATATATTTAAACTAAATTTTATTAAATATATGTAAATTAAATCTACTTAAAATATCAATATAATAATTTTTAGCATCATTAATGATAAGTTAGTATTCTAAATTTATGCAAATCTTATCTTTAATTGTTCTGTATTGACTTTAAAAATAAAACAATAAATATTAATTGTTTTATATAAATACTTTAATTCATAATTAGAAACTGGATTAAAAAAAAAGAAATTTAAAAAAATAAATAAATTAAACTTATGAGATTTCTATCAGATTAAATAAATTTGTTTTGCCAAAAGCTACTTAAATCATGAAACATTGTAAAATAAAAGATATTTTAACAGTAAAAGTTTTTAGCAGCAGCTAATAAAAAATATAAAAAAAGATTTCATTCACAAATAACAATAGAATCAGGTACATCACAAAATGTGAGAAAACAAATACACTTTAAAAGAAAATGCAACAAAAATATAGTTAACAATGCTTGAAAATCGCACACAAACCCAAAAGAAATTATAATTTGTATGTTTAGAAAAGATATTTTGAGCCAGCTCAAAACATTTATGAAGCTTCGGGTTGAGATCCTTCATCAGATGCTTCATCTTTAGAATCGTCAGTTCGATTGTTTTTAAATTCCTGAACAGAATTCTTCAAAGAAGGTTTAAATGTTTGACAGGAACGATAGACTTCCTCATTTGCAACACAATACTTTGAAAGAATCTGTTTGAATAAACAAAAATGAAAATACAGTCGGACCTCTATTTAACAAAGTCACTAAATCCAGATAATAAGTTCGTGAAATAGAAAATCACATTTTGAAATACTTAAACAACACGAAACAGGTTTTAAATTCATAAACACTAGACATAATTAAAATAGCAATTGATACACCTTTATTTTGCAAATGAGTATCTACTATTTATTTTATAAATTTTAACCATAAAAGAAATCTGCAAGGAAAGCAAGAATAAAGCAAAACATTATCCAGTGTTACACTATCATGCTACATACATTTTCAATAAAAAAAAGCTAAATTTATGTATACAATTATAGCCGCATTTATAATAAAAGTAATTTTAAACATACCACATGCGTTTCATAAGCATAATTGCTATTGAGAAAATCCGTTCATTTTGTCTTAGTTTTTCGTTTGAAATGCAAACTAAAAGGGAAAGGGATTTAACTGCCTTCTCTTAAAAGTTAAATGGCATCAAAAATCAATTCAAGGTCATTTACCCCATAAAATGCGTTCACAAGTTTAAAATGATCTAAATTATTTTAGGAAATAGGGAAAGTGGATCTCAAAGAAAAGTTCACTTCACTATTTGGAAGTTATTTTATGAAGAAATTTTCCAAAATGTTCTTGGCTCCTTGAAAAAAAAATCATAAAATAGGGAAATTCACCAAATGGAAGTTCGTTAAATAGAAGTCCGACTGTACTTAAAACTGGGATATTTATGGTGATTATTAAAATAAATAAATAGAGAAAGTGTAATATGTAAAGAAAGGTATGACGAGTAATTATTAAAATAAAGTATTCCTGCCCTTTGTGAGTCATGGAGATTAAGGTTCCTAACTTTTGAGACCAATGGCATGAATGTGGCAACATAGTCAGCAATAGACCGCCTTTACATCCAAGACAAGCTGAGTGAACCACCAGGTCCTTCGCAATGACAGATCAGTGCCTTGAACCACTGAACCAGCGTGCCTCAATTATAAAAGTATAACCAACCAGAGTAAACGGGCAAGTGAATGAACAATTAAATGGTCTCTTAAAAAAATCATAAATCTGTAATTTTTGCTAAATGGTTATATAAAAAAAAATGCAGGGGAAACTATAAAGTAATGTTTTAAGATTTTTGGGGTTCAAATAATAAGTAGTTCAATAACCAAGTAAAGGAACACTTCCTACCAGTGAATAAATACAAAATTTTCCAGTGAAGGAGCACTTGATATTCTGATTATATTATGACCTTTTAATCATATAAATGCCTGCAAAGAAGTTTTCTCCTGGCATTGAGGCAATACTAATTATTTTGAAAAATATTACACTAGGCCATATAAAGCTCTTGTGTATCGAAAGTCGTTTAAATAGAAAAATTTATTTTATTTATTTATTTCGGTTACTAAGTAAAAATAGCAAGAAGATAGTGCAGAAATATGCTGAGAAACATCAATTTAATCCCGAAAATACCAAATTGTAAATAATACTGTACTAATGAAGAAGAAAAATCTACCGAAAATGCATTTATCATCAACAACCTGCTTATCAGACAAGAATAAAAATGCTTATTTCAATAGGTAAAAAGAAAGAATTAAGTTATGTAATTGCTTTACCGGCTTCATTTCGGGCATTTCAAAATCTTCAACAACCGTTTCCATTTCGAGTTGTTTCATAAGCTCTACCAGCTTACTAGCTTTCCTGTTCTCGTTTTGTTCGATAATTGCACAAAGATGTTCAGTCAACTGTTCTTTCCTTTGCATTTTTTCAAATAAGAAAAATTTGGCTTCAATGAACTCTTTCTCTGCTTTTAGGTATCTCTTCCTACAACACACACAAAGAATTACATATAAACAAGTTACTTAAAAGTCAACAAAGAATTTTTTTAATTTTAGTTACTTTTTATTAAATAATTAAAATTTTTTCTCCCATATAAAACTAAGATTAATTATTTAAATTTAATGAATGAATTAATATTTGAAAAAACAGTATTAACATCGAGTGTCATGTTTAAAAAAAATGTATTTGAACTTGAATGGATGAATAAAAAGTATTTTATTTAACGATTGAACATTTGAAAAAGATACGTAAATATACTATAAGTAGGGAGAGTGTGAACTAATTGTAGGAATTGAAGAAGAAAAAAAGGCGTGTATTATGAGACAACTATAAAAGTATAAATTTGGTGACGTGGACCACACGGGCTACCACGTAATGTTCTTTATTAAATTTATCTGACACAGCGAGTATAAAATAATCAAATGTGCACAATAAACTATTTTTTTTAGCTATAAATACAGCTATTTTCAGCTACAGTTCAATGCGCTATTTTTTTGTTCAAATATAGGGAGAGTGTGAAATAATAGTAGGAATTTTAAAAAAAATGAGAGTGCCATGTTTCTAATATCAATTTTGCATGTCTCAAAAAAAAAAAAGTATTGAGCTAAAGCTAGGTTTACAGAAACGCCATCAAATATTCATTTGGAAGTATGCAAGGTATAATTAGAATTTGTTTTGACACAAAAGTTTTACAATGCTATTAATTTATTCAAGAGTCACAAGTATAGACGATACTTTAATAGCTGTTAGCTTGGGATATCAGCCAACATTAGAGAAATAAAATAAAGGAGATTGTACTAACCAACCCAATTTTGGGTTTACCACTACTTGTGTTCAGTTCTGTAGCATTGTAATTTTGAACCCAATCCAGAAGACAAGGGAGATCCTGGATCAAGTATTGGGAGAAATGTGCCTTAGAGGAGGACTTTTTGATGGAACTAACCCGCATCTGAGTTACACGGAGAGGAAAACCACAAAAACCTCCCACGGTTAACCAGAGGACAAGGAGACTCTAACCCATGATCCACCTACCACTGAGGATATTTCATGTCAGCACTGTGGTCGGCGAAAGTCCAATGCGGAATGCATATTGACCAGTCATCTCTGGGATTCAAACCTGTGTTTACCTCATTTCGGAGGGCAAATGCTCTATCCCCTGAGCCACCACAGCTCAACTTAAACAATTAACACTCAACATACAATAGTACTGGCATTAGCATATCCGTTGAGGAATAAGAGAAGTATTTTTGCCAGAAGTGGATATTTTATCACCAATTTATTTTTTCAAATTTCTTCAACAAATATGAAGAAATTTGAAAATATGCAGGTAAACAGGAGATAGTCGTAAAATACAGGAGACTTGGTAAACATGGCTTTTTTATGTTATAAACGAAAAATAAATATTGATATGTTGAATAAATAGCTAGATGCTTCTCTTCCAAAGATTGTAAATTTTTTATATAATTGTAAATTTTTAAAGATTGCAAATTTTAATAATAAATAATTTAATAAAAACTCATATTTTTCTAAAAAGTTATATGTATAATAGTAAAAGGTAAAAGATAACAATCCGTACTTTAGGAAAAATTTCTAAAAAAAAAACCCAAATAAGTTTAAAATTAAGAAATATATTAATCATCACTTAATGATCACATTGCACAATTATCTGATTAAACAAAATTGTTATATAAAATAAGGTGCATTAAAACTTACTCCAAATCTCCAGTGAAAGCAAAGAATAAAATTATTAAAATTAGTTACCATTAAAAGTATGGTATAAATATTATTAAAATAATTCTATATATAATACATACTCAGCTTGAGAAAATTCTCTGCTGGCTTTTTCGATGTAGTCACGTAAAATGACGATGTCGGAACTTAGAATGTTATCGAGGCGATTTAATTCATCAGTAATATGTGACAACTTTATTGCTTCAGCTTGGGTCTTTTCTTTTCTAAAATAGAAAATGGAATAAGAAACACGTGGAGCTATGTTCATAATTCAGCACACAAATTAAAATTAGCCATTTTATTTAAAATAAAATGCCCTAAAAGAAAGGGTGCGTAAACAGGGTATCTGCTACATTTAAGACTTTCAAATTCACGACTTTCCCCAACTAATTCCAAACATTTTTCACGACTTAACGAAGTTACTATTTTTTCTGACAAAAACACAACAATAAATTTAAAAAAGTATTATAATAACATTAATTGAAATTATAGGTATAACCAATTCTGTTATACTCTACATCTTCATATTTGTAGATTTTAAATTTAAAAAAACAGAGTAAAGAAAGAGTTGAAGCAATAATACAAATAAAATAATACAAAAGCAAATATTTTTTTCTTCTTTTTTACAGCAGAATTATATTCTAAAGAAACTTTTCATATTCATCGAAAAGGAAAGAAATACTCCTGATTTTTCTGTTCTAATTTCGGAAATAAAAAATCACCAATGACTGGCTTGTTACAACTACTATTTTAAATTGATAAAATAAAATAAATAAATAATAACCAAAATTCTGAAATCATAGAAATTTAAAAGATAATTTGCTCTAAAAATGATGTTTTTTCTTTCATTTTTCGAAAGAACATAATTTTTAAAGAACATGATAAAAACATTTTATATTTTAATAAACTATGACTGTGAGTGGGGATTTTGTTACCAATTCAGATATAGACACCGTGAAATGGGGGGGGGGGTAAATTCCATTTAAAAAATTAGATTTTCGGCAACCTAAATTCTTGACTTTCCATGAGTTTTTTTTTAAATAAAAAAACAGTTAAAATCTTGACATTTCATTACAAATTTTGTTCAATACCGAAATACATAATTGTCCATGATTTCTCATGACTTTCCAGGTGCACAGTTACCCAGATAAATTGTATTAAATTCGAAATAGAATGCAAGTGTATTACAGAATCAAAAAAGCTTTAAATAGTATTGACAGTTAATGATTGAGAACTATTTTTTTTTTTTCAATAAGTAATGATTGTCATCATTCCTCACAACTAAATAACACACTTATCAGTGATGGCCTTGCTGATGAGAGCTCTTCTCCGGGCATTCTCAGCTTCAATGTGCTTTTGTCTTAACTCAAATGCTTCTAAATCCTGGCAATCAGTAGGAAACCTGATGCTTTCATCACTAAAAAAAAAAGAAAAAATTTAATGTCAGATTAATGTATAAGACATTGTGATATAAAATAAATAAAAATACCATGAGCTCTTTCAAATAGGAGTTAAAAATATTGATTAACTGAAGAATTTAATTGACAAGATTAAACTGAACTTTTGAACATCATTAAGTAAAAAGATTAGTTTTTAATAAAATACAACTAAGCAGGGTGCGTAGCCATATTTTTCAACAAAAAATAAGCAACTTTAAAGTACTTTGTTAGTTCGAATAGTACACTCAAAAATATTTTTACTCACTATATACATTAACAAAAGGCAAAATAATTTTCAAAGACTTTACATGAGCATGATAAAACATCTAATTTCTGCCAAAGAACTCTAATCTGGATTATAGTAGCCACCATAAATAGATTGAGAGATTTTTCGGTTCGACTTCAGAGGGTGGAAAATGAAGTTTGAAATTGAGAATATTTTGCAAAATTCAGCAGAGTCGCACATGAGAGTGCAATAATTTCACCGAATCCAGCTCAGTAGACGCACATGCGGACTCCCAAGCATTTCATCAAACATGTAACATGATTGGCGCTATCATACGTTACAGACTGACGGTACGCCGGCTGAAATAGATTGAATAGTTGAACAATTTGTGAAAATATTGAATGGAACAATGTGAAAACCATGCTTTTGCATAATACGTAGTGAAACTCGACATGGTAAAGAAAAAAAAATCTGATTTTTGAAAAAGAAAAAATTAAGCAATTTTTAAAAACATGCCATGAAAAAAAAAACAACTTTAAGGGATTTTAAAAAAACAAAAATAAGCACTTTGATGCCCTTAAAACGTTATGCATGATGACTAAGGCTTTAAAAGTCATTAAGAAATCACATAGCATTTAAAATATTAAATTGGCTTACTTGGGCGCTTCATCGTAATTAGATGCCATTTCATGGTATTCAGTAGTGTAACCAATGTGATTGCAGGTACAGTCATTAGATGACGAAGAATTATCACTTTTATTTACTTTCCAAGTATCCCTGGGCAGTTTACAGGAAGTAGGGCTGTTCTTAAGAGCTACTTCTTCTTCAGAAACATCCTTAATGGCAGAAGCCAGTTTTAGTGCATTTAAACTTGCTTCATCTAAAGCTATCAACAAAAAAAAATTCTATTATCAGTATAAGAATATATAAATAAATAAAAAACAACATCCTAAATATTTAAAATAGAAAAAGGAATAAAAATTAAAATTAATAGTGACCGCCCTGCCCCCAGAGAAGTTTTCGGATAAGTGTTTGACCTGTATCCACGTTAGAACTAAACGCTACAAAATTACAGTTAAGTAAAATTAAAACTAACAAAGATTGATACACATTAGAAAACATCACAATATAGATGACGTGCAATTTAAAACAATAAATCAAGTATTTCAAACCATGTAGGAAAGTAAAAAATAGGAAATGGATAAATGAAAGCAAAATAAGCCGCCTAAGAACAGAGAGTTCAGCCTCCCCAATGAGATTTAAAATCAATCATAATAATTCCAAAAGGGATTTATAGTGAAAGTAAATATAAAATTTTGGATCAAGACATCAAAGTGTTGGGCTATCACGAAAGAGATCACCAATGGCCAAAAGTTCTCCATGGAAGGGAAAGGCCCCGGAACAGCAACCAGTCCAAGTGTCCGGATTAAAATAAAAGATCAAAGGGATCTTGAAGAGAACCAGAACTCTTAAAAACAAGTCAAAAGCGCTTAAAACATCTAAAAGAGTAAAATTAACCAAAAACAAAAGTGTCAAAAATACAGTTAAAAAATGTATGAAGAGTAAGGTCAGGTAAAACATTAAATGGTAAAAATAAGAAAAATTTCACCGAAAGGGATAAAAATTAAGAAAATCTAATCACTGGTCCAACGGATCAGTAAGTATAAGATATTACCTGTCTGTAAACATATCTGCACGTCTATTTACTCGATTATTAATATTTATAAACAAATTTTTAAAAAAGTAAACTTAAATGAATAATTAGAATACAGAGAATGCGTAACGTCAAATTTAAGATGAAATATGCTATTTTGTGTCATAACTATGGTTATAAACATAGATAAAAAAACATGAATCAAAAACCAAATGACACTCTTTTCTGCTACACTGTGTTTTAGTTATTATATATATACATAAACATAAAGGTATCTTACATAAACATATATGTATCTCAGTTTTAACTCACCGACTGGAATATTATTTTCCTTTTAAAGTTTTTCCGGGGCTGCTGTTCGGAAGTTGTAAAACTTATTACAATTTTGGCACAGGTAGTACAAAGGACATGTTTACATACACTGTGGTATCGTGATAGGTGGCAGAATAATTGCTGAATCTTGACAATTTCCGGGGAGCGGCCCTAGAGAATCTAAAAGGAAATACCACAGAAAGGGACCAACTAGAATGATTATAACTCGTAACTACCCCCCGGACAAACATCTACATATTTTTTTTAAAAAGATTTGCAAGTTTAAAATCTACTAGTTAGAGCGACAGATCCCGACACAGAAATATCCCCCAATTGTCCACAAAAAACTTCGTAAAAAAGCGTCTGATTATGAAGTACTAAAATAAAATAAAATATTAGATATCCACAACTACAACATTTTTCATTCAACCCAATCAGGGATATTAAATATTCATATTAAAAATATTACGTCAATATTTAAACAGAAAATTTATAAAGTAAGTACCAAATTAAGTAATACACTTAAAAACAAATACATACTACTATTTTCGGAGAATATTGGATTCAATTTCATTTTCTCGATATCTTCATCAGTAAAACCAGCCCATTTCTTAGAAGCCATATTTCAAAGAAAATTATTAAGCATTCTAATTAGTCGTAATGGATATACTATAATACCCACGGCCAGTTTTAATTTTCAAACTCCCTATTTTGAAAAGCTTCTGCAGAGTTCATTATACGTGTTGTTTTGATTTAGCACTGACATGATACTACTTTTATAGATTTATGGGAAAAATAAACTTCAGCTTATAGCTTTCACTTAATTTTGTACTAAAATAAGCTGTGCGTGAAAATCGTACAAAAAATTCTCATTGACTCCACCCCTTTATATCGTCGGCTCTTCTTTCTACTTCACTCTTTATTTTTGTGATTAGTGTAGTTTATGTTGTTTATGCTATAGAATAATGTAATGTCTTTTTATTCTAAGTCTTTATTCTGTATTGTTTGGTCATTAAATTGTTTTACTTAAATTCCTATTTATATTAGAACTGTTTTAGCATGCTGAAAACTTGCTTCATAAACACATTGTGATCAATTCTTTTGTCTGGAAGAATCGAAGATGCGCAAGATGAAAAAGAAAAATAATTCTTTAATCGGTGGTCTTTAAATTAAAACAATTTTCTTCCATAGTATTTGATGGTGAAATTTCGATTGCTTGAAATTCTCCTTCCCATTTTGTACTCAAAGAAATGCCATTAATATTGGACGCACTTACTTATTATGATGATGATTCAGATTTTGGTAAGTTGCGATTTTCTTAATTGGTTGCTTAGCTTACGGGTTCCCTAGCGTTTTTGACAATTTTGAAATTTTAAATTGTCTATGAAAATTTTCGTATTGGTACCAGCATCAAAATAATCGCCAAGTTTTGTTGACTTCTGGGTAAGTGGCCCACAAGGAACTAACTATACAAGTATAAATATATATGTATAAATACATAAAAAGATTCAACTAATCTTTTTATGTTATTCCTTTGATGTAAATATTTTTCTTATTTCAAATCGAAATGCTAATTCTCTCACTTCAAAATTCACATCCTGTCTTTTTATCTATTTTTTAGTTTAAGTATGCATTAATTAACAGTTAGACATTTCCCCCTGTAACTAGGCATGAGAAAGCTAAATTTCCCTAGACCTATTTGATAGACCTAGACGAATTATAATTATTAATGTTTCCCTTTTTCACTGAAACCTTATAAAATGGAGAGGGGGGGGGGGAATGTATGCTACTTTCCCCAAGATAAAAACTAAACAGGGATCTGTCTAGGTTTTTCTGAGAGGTACCTATTTTGTGAAAATTTAGACATAAATTGGAAAAATTAAAAATTATATTGAAAAATCAACACAAAAATATGAATTTATCGTTTTTTAAGGGATACAAAAATAAAATTTTTAGAAAAAGTATTTTGTGAAACTATCGTTTTTCGTGAAGTTGAATTTGTGAAACTACCATTTTTCCTAAAGTTGAATTTGTGAAGGTACCTCTAAATGGTAGTAAATTAGGCCTGAGCAGACCCCTGCTAAAGCACATATATTTCAGAGCAAGATTTGAGCTCCGCCATTGCTTGAAAATGATTTCATGAGATGATGTGAAAAGCTCTATCATCTCTTTAAAATTATTTAAATAAATATCAGTTTCTTTCCTCCCTTACTGTTTGCCTGCGTTCCTGAACATTCAACCATGGCTGCTGTCATCATATAAACATCAGAGACGCAGTTTTTTAAAAGCCCTTAAAGGTGCTTTTTTCATTGGATGTTTTTAGAAAGTGTTTAATTTTCCCTTATCAAACAGGAGATTTTTCCTTTAACATGTTGATTTTCGCTACGAATTATGCAGAAAGACACTGTTCATATTGTTCAACTCAACGTTTTCACAATTAACTCAACCCCAATCTATTTCGGCGCATCGTCAGTCCGTAGGGTATGAAAACCCCATTCAATTTACATGATTTAAAACAAATTGACAATTATCAAAAACAATGCCATAAGTTTTTATTTTTTGACATGACAATGAAAATCAGATAAAACCATCAATTGTCAAAAACTTCCAACCCTACCAAATTATGATACTTTTTTAAAGTGCTTAAAAATATTATTTGAGTGCTTGAAAAGTGCTTAGTTTTTGTTGTATAATTCGGCTACGTCTCTCCTTTTAAATTTAGATAATTTGAAGGGAATGTTTTAATTGACCATGTCAACCTTTGTCTATCAAAAGTTGCATCTAGATAGAATGAAGTCAACGTGTCTTATATACTAGTGAATTGGTATTTGTTTAAAGTGGTAGTTACGCCACAAATTTGTTTGATGTTTTTTAAGACATATTGGGATTGAGGCAATCATTTTTATTTCATTCTTAAAAACTTATAATAAAATTTTTACTGTTAGTACAATCTTTCGATTTATGATCAACTTATACTGTGTATTAGTTTAAGCTGCCGAGGAACTTTCTTCTAATATCATTCAAAACTGGCAAAAACTAATAATTTTATTTCGAACTGGATGAGGAACATCTAAGGCACAGAGCAGAAAAGTGTTCTATGGTAGGGATTTTTTTTTATGTCTATATATTCTATAGATTTAAAAATTCATATTGAGATATAATAGGGATTTTCTGTTGGTTTTAAGAAGTATCCAATGCTCTATATTTTATATAGCTTTACCCTACTCTGGGATAAAGTGGGTACATCAAATAGGCAGAAAAAATAGGCATTCTAGGCAGAAAAAAGTGCAGGGTGCAAAAGTTTAAAAAGGGGGCATTATTATTCTAAAAAGGCAATGATTTCTTTCTATGGGCTTTATACGTTCTATTAAAAAACATTGTAAATTAGTAAAAGAATTTTTTACTTTACTAAAAGTAGCAAAGCAATCATTAATTACTAATTTTTATTAATAAATTTACATATAAATCGAGTTAATGAGCTAATTAGCTTAGTAATTTATTTAAAAGGCATGTATATATTAATAAAATAATATGTATATAATAATATATATATATATGTGTCTATAGTTATGATTTAATAGTTGAAATGATTAATAATAATTACGATTTAATGATAGTGGAAGTAACTGCAAACTTTCAAAGACAAGTGCAACAAGGGGGTGTGATGGCTATTTTTCCTTCCCCATATAAATCTATGTATTGACAGCAACGACAAACTAAATAAAAAGAGTTGAAAATAACAAAAGTTTAAGAAATCTATTGAAGAGTTTGGGGAAGAAATAAAGAAGGTTTGAGGAAAGAAAGGGTATGGAGTCTATTACATCAGGGTCTAATACTTTAGGGGCAACAGGGTGGATTATTTTGTCTAAAAGGGCCGCAGGGTGCTGCGCCCTGTTTACCCTTCCTAGAATGAGCTCTGCATCAAAAACATGTTCTTCTGAATGCTGAAAAATATATAGTGGTTGCTATAGTATTTTTTAACATTTTAGTAATCCTGACCAAACTATGAGAACCATATTTCCCAGATTGCGGCTACCTCTTCTATTTCTGAGGTCAGAATTTGTCAAAAAAAGTATGTTTATTCAGAGTGCATTTTTGTGTTTGATTTTGTAACTTAAGATATCATTTGCATTTCAGAGCTCATTCTAGCAGGGTAAACAGGGTGCAGCACCCTGCTGCCCTTTTAGTCAAAAGAATCCACCCTGTTGCCCCTGAAGTAAATTAGTGAATATAGAATAATCGACTCCATACCCTTTTTTTTCCTCAACCCTTTATTTTTTCCCCAAACTCTACAATTGATTTCTTAAACTTTTGTTATTTTCAACTCTTTTTATTTAGTTTGTCATTGCTGTCAATACATAGATTTATATGGGAAAGGAAAAATAGCCACACCCTTGTTGCACTTGTCTTTGAAAGTTTCCAGTTACTTCCACTATCATTAAATCATATTTATTATTAAACATTTTAATTATTAAATCATAACTACAGACACTTAAAAACATACATTTATTATTTTATTAATATATGCATGCATTTTAAATAAATTACCTACTAAGCTAATTAGCTCATTAACTCAATATATATGTTAATTTATTAATAAAAATTAGTACTATGCTACTTTTGGTAAAGTAAAAAAGAAATTTCTTTTACTAGTTGACAATGCTTTTTAATAGAACGTGTAAATCCCACAGAAAGAAATTATTGCCTTTTTAGACTAATAATACCCTTTTTATTTTAAAAACTTTTGCACCCTGCCCTTTTTTCTGCCTAAAATGAGCTCTGCTTTGATTAATTAGCATATTCCCCTTCAAACTATGAGAATTGAGACCTCGATCATAGACGTTTGCTAAAAAGGTATCCAGTATTATCTTCTTTCTTTTCATGCACTGCATTCTAAATTTTGTGTGGATGGGTTGAGAATTGCTGATTTGTATAAACATGTGCACTCATACTGTGTCGAACTCACCATAGTCCTAAAAAAGTGATCATACCCTAACCAGAATGAGGGCCTTTCTTAAAGGCACTCTGACCCCACAAAGGAAATCAGGGTTGGGTTTTTGCTGTCAAAAGCTGGTTATTGACATGACAGTGATAAAAACCGTGTTTTTACTGGTAAAAACTGTCAAAAACCTACTGTTTTCTTTAATTTATGGCATATGGCGGATAATATATTATTTTCACATAACTGTCTTTATAAATGAATGTTGTAAATGATTGCTATTGATTTTGCAACTATATACATGTATTCTTATAGAAGGATATACATTCATACAGAAATATTGTAATATACTTATTGAAAATAGTGATACTTACTTTTATCATAATAGCTTGATTTGCAAAGGATTCAAAATTTTGCACTTCTTAATTGTTAGAAATAAACAAACAAACAAAAAAGCTTGGAACTATTAATAAATTCAAGAACTAAAAAGAATTTAAAATTTGGCATTTCTTAAATATAGAAATAAGCTAAGCAAAACTTTCAAAATTTGTAACTAGTAACAAACTCAAAGTCAAGAATTACTGCTATTTTGTCAAGTTAAAAACTTTTATTCGGTTAAAAAAGCACATTAAACAAAACTTAATTACAAACAAAATTACATGTTCAGTAGTCGGGGTCACTGTGCATACGAAAGCAAGTGGCTAATTTTGCGCATTTTATATTGCTCAGTCGATTTCTAAGTTTAGTATGAATGAGTCCAAAATTCGAGAAGATTCAAAATTATTTTACCAAATACTCAAATTTATTTTACCAAAACTATGGTTTTTTGACAGAGGCGTTTTTGACATGACGGTAAAAACCGTCATGTGTCAAAAACTTGCCAACCCTGAAGGAAATCTATATAGTTTTAAAACATATTTTACATGTACAATTAGAATTATGAATAAAATACTAAATTAGAATTTTATTTAAGGAATTAGTCAGAAACTATGTAAATCAGTCGTAATTCAAACAACTGCAAGGAATTGCATCTTCTGTCTAATGATTGTGCCTAAAATTGTCAGTTTATAAAGTTTTGAGACCTCTTATGCCTTCTCTAAAAATAGGAAAGGAAAAATACTTCTACCCAAAATGATACGGGGAGATTTCCGTATCGTGATCTGTGGCAGAATAATTGCCAAGTCTTGGAAACTTCAGGGAAGTGGCCCGCGAGAAACTAAAAAGAAACATCTCAGAAAGGGACCCACTCGAAAGGTATAACTCGTACCCATCCCCGGGCAAACATCTACATGTTTATTTTTTAAAACTTTTAAATCTATTTGGCACCTTAGCAATTGTAGTTGGCATGACAGATCACGATACAGAAATATCCCCAATGATACTTCAGTTCCCCATCGATGAATTATGAAACAGAAAAACATGCGTACAATAGCTGCATAATATGCATAAAATTATGAGTTAACATAGTTTTGATTGATTTTTCTTTTTTTGGATAATTTTATTTACAATATTGTTTTAATTTATTATGATTGCATATTTGAAAATAAGATTATTTTTTTTTTGTCAACAGGAGAAATGGAAGGCGAGTCTTCTGGTTCACACGAATATCGAGAAATAATTCTGCAGCAGAGTGTCACAATGTTGGCCTACATGGATAGGGCAAACAATGTTTCTGCTCTGCCCTCAAATAGTTCAGAGCCCGGAATGCTTCTTGGTTTCGCAATCACTGATCTCACCATTCTAGTAGCTGCTTCCATAGGTAATATCTATCATACGCAGTAAAACAAATAATATAAAAAAATTAATAAAGTCAATTCCTACTTATTTTATTTTAATTACTTTTTACTAAGCTGTTAAAAAAAATTTTCTCCAACATAAAACTAGAATGAATTAATTAAATTTAGTCAATGAATTAATATTTGATAAAATGTATTTGAACTTGAATTAAGGAATAAAAAATATTTTATTAACGATTAAAAAGTTGAGTAAGATATACAAATATAGGGAGAGTGTAAACTAATCTTAGGATTTTTTTAAAAAAAAGGAGTGTGGTATCAGACAGCTTATAAAAGTATAAATTTGGTGACATGGACCACGCTTGCTACCACGTAATGTTCGTCATTGAATTTATCTGACACAGCGAATTATAAAGTGATTGAATATTTTTTTGTTCAAATAGATCTATAGAAAAGATTGATTTATATAAGTTAGAAATTGATATGATGTTATTTTTAAAATTTGTGAAAAACTGAATCGCTTGGAGTAAAATTTAAAACAATGACTAACGCTTAACCCATCAGAAAATTCCATTTCGTTTTTCTCTCATCCCTATTTAATGAACGAATTAATAAAAAACTGTATTAACATCCACTGCTAGTTTTAAAAAAATGTATTTGAACTTGTGTGGATGAATAAAAAGTATTTTATTAACAATTGAGTTCACCTACATAAAGAATTTGAGAGAAAAGTGAGCTCAATTAAACTACAAAGTTTCAAACTGCAAATAAATTATTGCAGGATTACTTCATTTTCTGGATATTTTTTGTTCTTAACAAACTAATAATGACTGAGAATCCATCAACAGCCCAATGCTTACCACAAAAGGCTTTATTGTTATTATATTTGGAGAAATAATACTTGATAGCTTTTAGAACACTATAGATATCCTATAAAAAATTTAAAGCAATGGAAATATGTCATTTATTAATAATATTAAAGAAAAGAGGTGAAAAAATCTGCTTTCATTCATTATCATTCAACTTGGTGCCTAGGTTTTTTAAAAAGTGCTTAAAGGTGCTTATTATTTTCATTTCTTAAAAGTCTGTAAAGGCGCTTTTATTTATTTATTTTTGCTTTGCCATGTCTATTTTTGCCACATATTATGCAAAAGCGTGCTTTTCACATTGTTCTATTCAATGTTTTCACAATTCATTCAACCACAATCTATTTCGGCATCCCATCGGTCTGTAGTGTACGAAAGTGCCAATCATTTTACATGTTTGATTATAAATACTTGCGGGTTCTCATGTGCGTCTACTGACCTGGGTTCGGTGAGATTTTTGCACTCTCACCTGCAACTCTGCTGCATTTTGCAGATATTTTCAATTTCAGGCTTTATTTTCCGACCTCTGAAATTGAAGCGAAAAATCTCTCAATCTCTTTATGGTGGCTAATATAATCAAGAAAAGAGTTTTTTGTCAGAAACTAATTATTTTATCATGATCATGCAATGTCTTTGAAAATTGTTTATCTCTTCGTTAATGTATATAGTGCTTAACAATATTTTTTAATGCTTAAAAAGTACTTAAAATGTGCTTATTTTTTGTTGAAAGATTTGGCTATGCACCCTGTTTAAGAAATGGAAGTGAAGTAGATTTCTAAAAAACACAAGTGTAACTTATTTTGAAACCAAAAATATTTAATGTCATTGTGACACATTTTTATTGTGAAACTTATCATTCTGTGCGGGAATCGGGTAAAAATATTTATTTTTTAATATTTCGTATTTTTATTACAAATATTGTGTTTGAAATTTTAGGAGCGGCTGGTTTAATAACCATAGTTTTAGCTGTTTTTATTGTATGGCATTGCTGCAAATTAAGAGGTCGACCAGACAAGGCTTATTGTAAGTATTTCAGGCTGCTTAAGTATTTATCTAAACTTTTCTGTTCAGTTTCTTTTTAAAATACAGATTTCATAGATGATTAGATAATAATCTCAGAAGTAATTCTCCCCCCCCCTACCCCACTCCAGCTTTGATTATTAGTTTGTAACACAAATGTAGGGGGAAAAAACATGACACTGACTGTCAGGAAATTAATATTTCATTTATTGGACATAAATAAATGTAAGAACACAGTTTCCTGAGAGTAAAAGAAATTTCTAGAATGAAAAAAAAAGACATTCTAAAATTAAATATACCCTAAAACATTTACAGGGTGGCCACCCACCTGGAAAACCTGGAATTATCAGGGAATTTTTTTTATACTGGAAAAAACCTGGAAATATCAGGGAAATTTGGATAAAAACCTGGAAAAATCAGGGATTTTTAAAGAAAAGCTGGAAATTTTTCTTTGATGATTTTTCAAATTTGACTAATTTAAATTATTTGCTAATTTTCTTAATTTAAATTATTTCATCCATTATACCCACTTTTTTTTAACGGAAATGTATCGCCAAACAGTTGAAATATCATCAACTTAGCAATACTTTGCTTGCATCACAATTTGCTCCATTATAGTTCTGTTAAACTAGAATGCCATATAAAATTCTTCCACGGTTGCTAAACAAATGTGGAAACTTTTGACCGCTATGGGAATTTAGGAAAATTTAGGTAAGATTCTGGTGGGAAAAGGGATTAGGATATTAGCTTCTGTTTTTAAATTCTGTCCTTGGGCTGAATCCATTTATGGCTCAAGTTTGTTCCGATGCTTTGGTGGTTATTTTTTTTCTCTATTTTGACAAAATGTTTTTGTATTTTTAACTTTATAAAAGTCTCCAAAAATTAGTTGGTTATAATTTTATGATAATAGATTTTATATCGCACTCTTTTTCTGAAAGCTTTTCTACTCCTATTCAAAGAAATCTGTGAATTATTTTTTCTGAGCAAACCAACCAATCACACATTTTTTTACAATCACTAACAGCAATGTTTGTCGACAAATTGTTACAATTGTTGCATTAATGCTAATTTTTTCTATTTCATTTTAACCTCTTATCACATATTTTAATTTTAAACAAAAAAGGCTCCTTTGGTGGTCAATATATGATTTTTGATTCAAAATTTTATGCCAAAACATTAAAAAATAAATAAAAAATCTTGAAAATTGTCAATATAAATTATTTTTTTCAAGATGATATGTTAAAAAAATAACATTTTGAATAAAATATTTTATAATATAGACACTTTTCTTGTACACATCCTATACTTTATAAGAAAAAAAGAAACAAAAACCTGGAAATTTTAAGATTTTTATCTGGAAAACCTGGAAAAATCAGGGAAATTTGAAATCTGATTTGAGTGGCCACCCTGATTTAGTTTGTCCAGACTCACTATTCTGGTTTATTCTGTACTCAAAGCTAAAGCTACGATTCCCCACCTCATGACCTCATGCCACACACAGATCTCAAAAATCAGAACTGGAGGATATGAAAAATTTGCTGCTCTCAGTAAGAAATGAGTTGAATGTTCTGACACTTTTCTGATAATACCTGTCAAACTTTACACTGACAACAAATTATTTCTGTTCAAAAATATAGTATTTATGCATTTTCTTGGTATTTCTTTGTAGTATTAAGAAAAAGAAAAATTTTAGTTGTTAGTTTTCTAATTTTAGTTTTTAACTTTTAATGTTAAATAAATGAAAGCATTTAAGAACACTTTTATGGTAACATATTGTCTAATAAGAATATGTAACTATAAAAGTATCCTTATATTTTATTAATTGGGATGACTAATTGTAATATATTTTCTTATTCATAATTGTAATAGCAATTTTTTTTTGTATATATTATTACTAGGGAGCAAAAATTTTAAATGATAATTACTAAAAAAATAATCTTTGAGCATATAATAATGGTAATACATAATACATTTGCTCATAAATATTTAAAATTAAGGCATTATAATTAAATCAGATAAACATTTTAATATGACCTTAAAAACTACTTTAATGACTTTTATTTTTGAATTTCAGGATTTTCTTTTCTTTGGACCTTGTAAATTTTTTTTCCTTTTCTGTTTAAAGTGACAAAACGGGATCAATTTTAATGGTGAAATCAAAAGTTTCTCAAAAATTGCGTTTTCTCATTTTGTGTTTTATAATTCTTGCCGGTCCCTATCGCGCAAGCTGATATTTGACTACTACTGTTACATTTTTGCAATCATATTAGAAGAAAATCCCCTTAAAAATATAAAAAACAATGAATGTATTGAAATTAAGTTTAAAAAAGATGCTAGTTACATGCGAAGCAATTTATTTCATGAATGTGAAGGTGATGCTTTCGCCGCCGTGGCGTCACTGACTGAAATCAGAAGCTCGGAGCATCACGAGTCTCTTCTAATAAGTGACCTAGCCGTTCTATTCTCTCTTTAGCCCTGCTAAAGGTCTACATTAGCGTAGCAGGCCAAATGGCCTAGTTATCCATAATCTAAAAGTACAGCAAATTTTAAGACTTTACTTTTAATAAATAAAAATGTTTTGCCCTTTCTCATTAAGTATTTCTTACTTAAACACCAGAAAAAAAATGTATTTCGTTAAAATAAATGGCATAGTGAAACAGGGTTGGGGTTTTGGACGTCTTAAACTGGTTTTGGACAGAACACATGAGTTTTACTGTCCTAAACTGTCTTAAAGTGTCCAAAACCTTGAACATTGGTAAAAGGTTAAAATTCTGTATGTACATTGTACACATAATAATTACATATATTAATAAATATTTGATACTTTTACTTCAGTTTAATTTTTAATTTAAATTATTAAAGGAAAATAATATAATAGGAAAAAATTAATAACTTTTGAAGCTTCACAATTCAATGAACAAAAAAAGTGAGTACTTAATCCTTTAAATATGCTTTTGATATTGAGAAATTATGTTTTTGCAAAAGGATAAATAATGCAATATTAAAAATAATAATTAACTTTTTTAGTAAAACATAAACTTGTCTTCATTTTGTTTCTTGTTCAAAAATTAACCTTTCATTTTTCACATTTTTTTAAAATTGTGACATAATTTAAGTAAAAAGGTTTTGGGCAGGACGGTTTAAACCGTGGATTAATCCATTCTGTCCTAAACCTTGCCAACTCTGAGTAAAAGTCTTGTGATATTTTACTTTTCTCATTCAATAGGTTTGGATAATTCAAGTGCTGATGAATGCTCAATTAAACAAGGAAGTGGTACAATGATGCATAGGTAATCAATGCTCCTGCTGATAACTTAATTATGATTCTTGCATTGAGGTATACTAATTGTTTTTTTCTTTTCGGTTGCTGCAGTGATTCTGTTGTGTTCTTGGGTTCAAAATCTAGTCAGATTGCAACATGTGCAATAGGAATTAAAAACGATCTTTGCCAGTCGATTCTTACTCGATCTCAGTCTGTTCCTTTGAAGGAGGGAAAAGAAGTAAGATTTTTTTTTCAACCGAAGAAATTGTTTCTTAAGATTTTCCTCTTGTTTTGCATGATTCTATGAAAATTTTACAATATCAAAAGCGATACTTAAAGGGGTAATGCAGGAACAATTGTTTCAAGACCCAGTCAACTAATAATTGGACTAGAAGGCAACTCCATGTCATGTTCTTTATTGAATTTATCTGACACAGTGAATATATAGTAATTAAATATTTAAGTGTGCATAATAAACTTTTTTTTTTGGGCAAATAGAGTTATAAGCTAAGAATTATCACTGATGTTACTTTTAAAAAATTTGAGAAACTGAATCGCTCAGAGTAAAATTTAAACCACTGACTAACGCTCATCCCATCAGAAAACTCCTTTTCGTTTTTCACTTATCCCTATTTAATGAATGAATTAATACTTGAAATAAAAACTGTATTAACATCAAGTGTCATCCACAACAAGTTTTTAAAAAAAATGTATTTGAACTTGAGTGCATGAATGTAAAGTATTTTATTAATGATTGGTAATTTGAACAAGATATTGAGAGAGTGTGAACTAATAGCAGGAATTGAGGAAACTGATAATTTAACTGGTGACATTACGGCAATAATTTCTGACTTGGAGTGGTCAGGAAACGATTTAAATTTCATCAGAAAAAGATCTCCTAAAAACACTATATAATCGAATATTTGTCCACATTTTGATTGATTTATCGATCGTTATAAACTCTAATACGGATTTAAAATAGAAACTCAACACATAAAATACACTTTAATTACTGGTCTCTCTACCCCTTCATATACCTGAAACTCAATTAATTTTTCTTTTTCAGCCTTCTAAATTGCATTCCATTAACAGACAGTCATCAAAGAAAAGACCTGTCAGCCAACCTGTCCACCTACCAATATTTCAATCCAATCTCTACTCTCCAAAACGAGCACATTCAGTCCATCCTCATTACTATCATCACTTGGAGGATGCGGCCGAACTATCCATGCCACTTCCCAGCATTCCTGAAATGGCATTCAGAGGTTCTGATGACACACCACCTCAAGTCCTATATGCCTCTTGCAATGGTACGCAATTCTTACCCAATTAATTTATTTCAATGACTACAGTAAATTACATTAAATTAATTTTATTTTTGAAGTCAAATAAGACAGATTTGTATCTTACTTTTGAACCAGTCTATGTTCTCTAAATATTAGTACCCGGATTTTGCGGAGAAACGCCGCCCTGGTATATACGCTGCGCCCTCAAAAATCGACTGGAAAAAAGGGCTTCTCACCGGACACGCCGCACCACGCCGAATTTTTAACAATTAACAACTTTTGAACTTAACGCAGGTATTGATTAAAGACTTAACACATGCTCTAAATATGCATATGTATATAATTTAAATAGTTAAATAAAAACCAGTAAAAGGATATTGAATATGCAAAATCCTAGTATATAAAATAGCTCAACTATAATAACTTTCTAAGTAAAATTAATCGTTTTCCAATTTTGAAGCATTTAAATATAAATAAAGTAATTAATATATCAAAAACCATTAAAATAAGTACGAAAATATTTAAAAATAAAACGATCTTACTTTTAAATCAACAATTCAAAATCCTGTTTTAACAATAAACGATAAATCCAAACGAATTTTGTTCAAAGAAAAACTTAAAAATAATTTATTTAGATATCACCTATCACTATACATTCATATCACTGCACTTAAAAATCCCTCAAAATCAGAACTCTCTGTATCAGGGCAAATTAGGTTTACTAGTTAATTGTTTATTTCAGGTTAATCTCCATCTCTCACACTTTCAGCCTCACTTTCGGTTTCGTTTTGTCCCGGAATGATTTCCACTTTTTTAAAGCCATTTATCACAGTTTCTTTTTCTCTTTTAATTGCTGACAGCTTAAGCACAGAGGTATAATTTTAACCTCTTTATGGGAGTTTACTTTAAGTTATCCATTTAAAATGGATAACTTAAATACAAGCTATGTTAAAACAAAACGAAAATAGTATAAACGAAACAAAATATCAACGAAAGAAAAATATTAATAAAACAAAAAGGCATCAGAATTGAAGATAAAAAAAATTATAAGTTGAGGAAGATGATCGAAATCAGACAGAAATATGAGCAATGAAAAAAAATAAAAAGCGCTCTCCCAAGCATTTAAAACAAGTTTCTATTTTTTGCAATTCCTCCCCCTATTTTCGCTTCTCAAATCAGGTTTCTTTTTTTTACTGACTCTGCCTAGGGCGGTCTTTCTTTTTTCCTTGTCTATAATTCTCACACACTTTCCTTTTTCCCCTCTTCTCTGACTCTCAGTTGAAATTCTTTTTGAACATTCTAATTGTAAGATTATTGAAGGTCATTCCAAGCTCATCAGCATCCTTTAATCGACAAACATACACATGTTTTTAACAACCAGCTGAAGAAAAGAGGGGAGTGGAGAGAGGCCTCCATGACAAGTGGAAGAGACATATTTCTTGCAAGAAACAGAGGGGTGTTTGTTTTACAGTTAAGGTTATCACTGGCCCCACCCTGATGTCCTTCATTCATTCCTTTCTGATTTATGCTTCTCCACTCCAAGCCCATTTCCTAGACTCAACAGCTGTTCATATGACAGAGGGGAAAGAGAGACTTTGTTCTCTTGTGGATAGTGGTCACCAGAAAGTGATTCCAAGAAAGGATTGGGGAGGGGGAAATTCCAGGTGTGCTGACCGTTTCTTGGCGTAACATTAGGCAGGAAAAAATAAATAAAAGGCACAGAAACAGGTGAAAAAAATGAGTTGATTTTCAAGTTTTAAATCAATAATGCTGCGGCCTATTTCCTCGAAATTACGGTAATCCATCCCTTATCTGTTTACCATGCCACAGAATGTCATGAACGTGGATATGATCTGATCAGCAAATTTAATTTTACCCATGAAGGTGCACAAATGTAGCATTTCAATAAATATTTTTTTATTAACACTATATTTTTCTACTTTTGTCAAGGGTATTTTCGGCAGTTGCTGATATTGGTTTTCACATGTTTATTTAAATATCCCTATATATTTTGAACAATACGGAAAATTAGAATCGTCCACTTGAGTATTTACTTTTTAAAGCAATAATTCTATCAAACTTTTGGCAATTATTGCTGTGGATTTCTCCACAGAAATACGATATTTTTAATACTGTATTATTTATTACAACTTAATTTCGAAATGAAACACGCAATCGATTAGTCTGATTCGCGTGACTTCACCTTCGATCTTTTTTTTCGATAATTACTATAATAGATTTCATGCTTTGTAATATTTTTTAATTTATTGTGACGATTATTTACAAAATGCGAGGAAGAAAATAATTCTGCATACCCTCAACAAAATGTGAGAATATCACCCATAATATTAGAATAAAAAATTATTATATGTTCAATTAAAAAAAGTTATGAATAGTTTTTTTTCCTTCTTTTTTTTCCTTTCGTAAATGCAGCGCTTTTGTTATTTTAAATGAGTTACAATATATTTGTTATTATTAAAAGTATCTTGTAGAAAGATATTAGTATTAGAGAGTTTAGTTTCGCAGATAGCTCGTATAAATTCTGCATGTAATGATGAAATAATCATTTGAAGGAATCACCCAGAAGAAAAAAACATTTGCCTGTGTCAATGGAACGATTTTCTTTTATGAAGTGATTATATAATCTATCAACGATTTGAATCTGACATACAAGGAGGACTAATCCATTATTTGAATTTCTCCCTCGAATAACTAATATATGTTTAAGAATCAAATTTCACAACTAAACATTCATTTGCAACAATCATGATAGATTTTTATGAATTAAATAAACGAGGATTTGTTAAGATGGTGTTAAACAACCGCAGATTGTTAAAGCCCCCTTTTTTTAAAAAAATTCCTTTTTGATTTAAAATTTACATAATGGTTAATTGATCTACAAATAAAAATATATTTGTTTCAGCCTTAGATGGTGCATCTGCATATAGCTCTATTTACACTGCTGTTAACCCAAATACTACGATGAAAACTAGAAGTCTCCCTCTTTGGGGAAGGGCACGTCCTCGCCCTCTTTCTACAGAAGACGATGTTAATGAATTATATGCTAAGGTAACTCTTTTGCCTAGTTTTTTTCCTTCATCAACATTAGCTTTATAATTTTTTACTGTTTTCAACTTTTATCTAAGTATGCATTTTCTGTTGTGTACATTTTTTATAATTGTATAAAACTTTTTTTTAAATGGATCATGGTATATGACAATTGATTCATTTAAATAAATTTTAGTCATATTTTTGTTCTTATTTAGGCAGTTAAATTCGTAATTTTAGGCAACTATTTTCATACTCTAGGTTACTAAAAGCAACTATTTTCTTTTCTGTGACAACCCTGAAAATACATAAATCCCTCATTTTATTCCAGGTTAGCTTTAGTAAAAAGCGTAAGAACAGAATGCGAAGCGACAGTGCTGCTGCCATCGCCATGAACAAAAGTCGTACACCCTTTGTGACCGTCGTCCACAAGGACACAGATTCCTTAGTGGAGAATGAAGCTGTTGTCGTTTATGACGAGCGAACAGCATTGTAGCAATACTATTATTTGGAATTTTATCAAATATTTTGCTGTGCAGTGCTATCAATGTTATAATGTATTCGAAAGGCATTTATATATTAGTATTATATAATGTTCATAAAATTAGTGTGAATTGGTGTAAGTTTTCTAAAATATGTTTCTTCTTTTAATTGAGGCTTTTATATAACTGATAATATTGTGTATTTAAGGCTGTTGTACCTTAATGCTAAAAGTTCTATCCCTAATTATATAAATTCCATACAAAAATGAAGTTAAAAAAAAAAAATTCATAATCAAAATAAGATCATAGGTTTTTTAAAAATTGCTTAACGGCTTCCCTTACCAATTGTTTTGAGATAAAAGAATAAACATATTTTTTTTATTTCTTTAATAAATACAAGGAACTAAAATAATGCACAAGTTTTAAGTTGAAATTTTAATTTTTTATGTGTAAAAAAACATTTAATTAGCCATCTGGTTGACTATCCCTAATTATATCCGGCAAATGAAAAAAGTTAAATATTAGCTTTTGAAAGATTGTTTTTAAAACAAGGGACAACGCAAAGTGATACATTTTTTTACTCTTTATTATGTAGATTCAACAACTATTGTATATACAATCGCACAAAACACGCGTGCAGTCCCACAATCAAACATTAAAGCTGCCTATCGTTTTTAAAAAGTGCTTGTTATTTTCATTTTTTAACAGCCCTTAAAGGTGCTTTTTTCATTGAGTGTTTTGAAAAAGTGCTTAATTTTCCCTATTCGAAAGTTAGATTTTTTTTCTTAACCATTTCAATTTTCGTCGTGTTGTAAGCAAAAGTGTGCTTTTCACATTGTTCTATTCTATGTTTTAACAATTCATTCGACCACAATGGCTTACGTTCGGTCTATAGCATTTAAATGTGCCAATTATTTTACATGTTTAATAAAATACTTTGGATTCCACAGGTGCATCTACTGAACTGGGTTCAATGAGATTATTGCTCTCTCATGTTGCAAGATATTCTCAATTTCAGACTTCATTTTCCCCCCTTTGATATCGAACCAAAATATCTCTTGATAATTTTATGATGGCTAATATAATCACGAAAAGAGTTCCTAGTCAGAAACTAGTTATTTTATCATGATCATGTAAAGGTTTTGAAAATTGTTTTGCATTTTGTTAATGTATATAGTGCTTAAAAATATTTTTTAAGTGCTAAAAAAGTACTTAAAAGGTGTTTATTTTTTGTTGAAAGATTTGGCCTAGCACCCTGTTTTATATTTCACCCAAATGACTTTAAACTTTCAAGATTTTTTTTTACTGCAGGTTTAATTTGTCCTAATAATTTATTACATACTTTTTTTTTTTTTATAGAAAGTGAATTTGAAGTTAACATTAAGGTTCCAGGTTCTATTTTTCTGTGTTAAACTTATTTCGAACAGAAAGTGAACACGAAGGTTAAACTAGCATTAAGTGTATTAACAGTCTTAAATTATTAAAAGGACGTCATACCGTGGGAGAAAATTTTTCTCTCAAATTCTCTTTCTCCTTCATTATTAATTTAAAGTGTAGAAAAAGTGAGTTCAAACAAACCTAGAGTAACCCATGAAGTTTTAAATACTGAAAAGAAAATTTTAAAATATGCAAATGAAAATAAATTATGAGATGATAATTAATACACAATGAAGAAGCTCTCTTCGAATAATTTGTTTGCAATTTAATATTTTTTCAGCAATTGAAATTTTATGACAAACTCTAGTTTTGCCTGAACTTACTTTTTCTTTCTTTTAAATTAGTAATGAAGAAGAAAGAGAATTTGTGACAAAAGTTTTCTTCCGTGGTATTGCGTCCTCTTAAGACCATTGTAAAATTCATACGTCCTATTAAAATATTTATAATAAAATATAATAGTTAACTAGAGTCTACTTTTTCGATCTTTTTTAGAAGCAAATATTTTTCCTAATTATTCATTTTTTGGTAATGATGTAAAATATTAATAGAAATAATTTTTGATGTGATTTTTTGTATCATCTAATATATTCTATATACTAATCTTATTGTTAAACTAGTCATTTATTACTCATAAGATTGAAGGAATCTGTGATATTTCTGATTTATTAACTTTAAAAAATTACATTAGTTTCCAATTCATTTTAAAAGTAAAATAGGTATATTGTATAAATTTTGTTAGTGAGGAATTGTTCTATAAAAAGCTGACATTTCTATTTAAGTATTTGTTATTTAGCTATTTTTTTTAAATTCATTTTTAAAAAAAAAGTTATTCCATAGAGAGGTCAATTAATCAATTGTGACATTGCTTTTTACAATGCAATGTATCCGCATTTTGTTGCTAACAACAATATTTTTAGTGTAAAAGAGTTAAACAACTAAATATTAACCCACTTTAGGCCAAGCATATAGATTTTAAAAATGTGGTATTATTTTCATTAAAATATGCTTACATTATATTTATTAAGACTTAAAAAAAGTGATATTTTATTTAAGAAACAAAATGGTGCACCATTCACCAAATCAATCAACAAACCATTTAGATGAACGCTTGTTTTTTTATTCTTATGAAATTTGTTATTTGTGGTACAATTTTAATCAATCATAAAAACAAAAGATTATACATTTTAGTCAGAAGAAAAAATTTTTTTAGAAAAAATTATACATTTTTCAAACATTTTTATTTGCCAATAGCTGTTTTAAGTTTAAAAAAGTTCTCGACAGAAAGTGCTTACTCCAATTGAATTACTATTAATTTTTAGGTGTCTTAAGAACCCTTGACAATAGCTGAAAAATATATGTCACTTTGTTAATAAAAAAATATATATTTATTGTAATGGTGCGTTTGTGCACCTTTGGCCAAAAATGAGTTAATCTCGTATAATTATAAAAAAAGCAGGAAAGGAAAAAGAAAAGAAAAAAATACTTAGCTACAGTATAATTTATTGTGTTACAAGTTCTGTGTTGTATTATTTAAGGAATGTAGATCTCATTGACTGCTTTGTCATCATTTTTTAGCATTTAAGTTGAATGTTAAGATCTTCTTGTACATTATAGTCATTTTCCTGTATACTGACATTCAATGTATCTTTTGCAAACATTTCAATTAACAATAAAAGTAAATACGTCTAGTTGTTTTTTTTTAATATTTGTATGGGGGGGGGGGAAATCAAAATATAGGAACAGAATAAGTATTTGATTAAACTATGAAAGCATATACTGTAGTACAAAATTCATGCATTCTTTCTAGTATGTCACTGTAGTGTGTCTACTACTACAAAAATACTAAAAAAGTAGGCCAAAAAGAATATTCCTATCCCTTCGCATATCATATTTGCGTCACTATCCATTTTAGCGACAACTGTGCTAATGATCTAAGGTGCGGGTGACACGAGCAAAATAAAAAAAAATTTAAACATGTTTAATAAATATTTTTCTTCATTCGCATATATTTTTAGAAATTTTGACACCTATGCAATGATTTAAAATTAATAGGCTCATTTCTTAAATATTTTATGCCGTTTTGATACATATTAAGTGTCAAAAGCATTATTTCAAATAAAAATTTCAACACTAAACAATATTTATTGCGGATGATTCGGTTAGTTTAGTTATGCGAAACTGGCTATAAGCATAGCACATGATAAAAGGATATTTTAAAAATTTAAAAGAATTTGTGACACTATCTAGCCATAGTTTAAAAAGTAAATAAATTTAGAAAATTTTCCCTTTTTAATGTAAATATGCCTGGATGAGCAAATTTAAAGCAATTCATATTTAAGGAATTTAGTTATGCATTCATATTTTATGTACGTTATTTCTGAATAATTACTAACATACGACTACCAAAACAGGGGAGCCATCCCCTCTGCAGAGGATCAAAGTTGCGATGGCATGTCTTCGGATCATTCTCAGGTATGTTCCCCACACCGTTGCCAACAGCCCATTGTGCAGCTCTGGTGTGACGTAATAATGCTAAGTAAGTAAAAAGTTGCAGAATCAAACAGAAAAACTTCCTCTGAATAAACATAGCTTTTTGTGATTATATTTTGAATCTTAATCCTTAAATTATAGTGATAACCGCCATCTTTAAAATATGGCCTCTCTAGTTTAAAATATGGCCTCAGAAAAGTGACCAAAATTGTCTACACTTTAATGTTAATTTCCAATTTTTGCTTCATCAGTTTACTCTGCACATAGTTAAGCAAATCAAACGCTCCTTATTATGAAACACATTTAGTCAAAAATAATTAAATGTAAAAAAAAAAATTTCAGTACCATTTAATTTAATGATAGACTAAAAATTTTAAATGTCACAGAATGAAAGTGCGAGTAGAAAATAAGAATGAAAACACAGTTTTTAAGTAAAGAAACTTTAAAAAAAATTAAATTTTTAAGTTTTAATCTGATTCTTAAGAATTCATAATTTTTAATCTCATTTCTTTATCATTTATATAAATACAATGTTAAATATGTCATTTAAAGTTGTAGTATTTATATAAATGATAAAAAAAATGAGTATGATTTTAAATTTTGCTACCATTTTTAAATTTATAATTTAAAAATAATAATTGTAAAAACTTTTTTCAGCTTCAAATTATAGATCGATAAGCAACTTTCATAATTGCTAGGAAAAACAATTTCCCTTAAATTACAAATATGCAAAAAGAGAAATTATTATTAAGGGATCTTAATGTTCAACCGCGCACCAGATTGAACTAGTGGGATTATAACTTCCAATTTACAGTAACCCAATATTTTTTTAGAGTCACGAAAAGCGAATCGTTCGAAAAACTATGATGGCTTAGTAATGAGAAATGCCTTTTTAGGCCCGAGTTTGTGACTTCAAAATATTTTCCGTACTTAATAGCTTTATTTTGTATCCATCATTGAACAGTCGACCCGATTTTGAATTTACGACTAACGATATTCAATTCTGTAGCCTGAAAATTTTTGACCCAATCCAGAAGACTGTGCAATCAAGTACGTATTAGGAGAATTCAACCCTTGTGGAAGACTTTTTTTGATGAAACTAGCTCCCATTTGCGTTACATGCCGATGAAAAGCACGAAAATTTCCCATGGTTAGTCTGACGGCAAGAAGACTTTAATCAATGACCTGCCTACCACGGAGGATATTTTACATCCGCTCAGTGCAAGTTGGGGAAAGGAGCGCTCTATTCCCACCACGGTTCGCACTTATTTGTTAACATGTTTAAAGCTAGATTCTGGAACCATTAAGATTGAATATTAGTGTTTTTAAGTAGCTCCTTTTTTATTTCGCGCACTGTATAATCTTTGTAAAAAATGAAATAAAACATTTTCTATGAATCGCAAACTTTTTGAAAATTAATGTAAAATCAAAACCGCAGCCTTGTCGTTTTGAACCAATCCGGAAGACAAGGAAACTCCTGGATCAGTACCCCCAGAGGTATGTTATGGGAACATGGAGGACTTTGAGATACGATAAGTCGCTGCATCGTAAATATATAGAATTAAGTACTCATAAATGCAGAATTTATTTTGACAAAAATATTATTATTCTATCTACTCCATTCTAAATTTTTAATTTATCTACTAAGCATGTGATATTATGCTGATAATAATATATTTCCGCTACATAACATATGTTCAGAAAGCTCTTAAATCTGAACAAAAATAAAGTCAAGAAGAATACATGATTTATCTCCAAAATAAGTTATTCATTACAACACTTTTTAAAAAGATTAAGTACAATTTTTGAACAAGAAATATATGAAACATGAAAGAAATGTACTAATGTTGTTAATGTATTGCTAGCAGAAAACTCCACATAATAATGCGTTACACATTTTTAATTTTTAATAATTAAGAGTAACTGATATTCCACCATCCTTTTTACCATAGATTACGTCTAGGTTAAGAAATGATAGTTCTTTCGTACTTTCATGTGGAATTCAAGATGCTCTCTGTTCTTTGAGCACTAACCTCAAAAGAATAGGTGGACTCCCATGAAACTTTTGCTATCCATTGAATTTTCGCCTATGAAGAAATGTTTGTTTTGAAAGAGCAAAAATGCTTAACTCCTGTTTTTGATGTGATTTTCTTACATAAAATTAAACAAAGATTTCATGTTATATTGGAATGAACAATTCAATATTTATCAAAATTAAGGTTAGCTTTCATATTGAAAGTGTACCAAAATGTTGCGTTTATATGAAAACATGTGATATTTTAGTTGTATTTGAAAATATGATTTTTACTACTACTGAGCACTTACATGTTTTCCTTAATTTTAAACCAAATGCTTGAAACAGCAAAAATTTTTAACAACTATATTTGATGTGATTTTTTTATAAAAATGAAACAAAAATTTCATACAGTTCAATTCAGATTTTCTAACACACGTTAAAGTAACATTGTGTCTATGAAATCGATGTATTAGTCGCAGTAATGACTGTATTTAATAATTATTGCCTTAATTCAATTACTGGTGTTTTCTAATCTTGTGTTGTATTGTTTTAGGAGGTGTTTGATAAGACATCTATTTCTGCAGAATCTTTAATTTTTTTTGAAAGAGAATTTCTTCCCTTTATTGATGACATTGAAGCTAACTTTGAATGTGCACTTTGGTTAAGTGATGCTGATTACGTGAGTGCTCTACAGATTGTATGTATAACTTTCTTTTTTAAAACTGCTAATAATATAATTAAAAATTTTGAGAAATAGAGATCAAAGCTCTTTTTCTTATGTATCTTTCAGTTCACAAATTTTTGAGAGAGGGAACAATAACCCCCAAAATAATTCTCTTCTTAAAGCCAAACTCTCTGTTTTTATAGTTACATTTGCTAAAATTTCAATCGAGTGCCCATTGGCTTTTCCAAACTTTATTCTACCAAATGTTACTCAATTAGAAAGTAATGCAAGAATTTCAATACCCAAAGGCTCTATGATTGAGAAGTTTTTTCAATGTTCTATGTTCATTAACGAAATAATTTTGCAGAAACTTTCTTGTCAAATTCTGGTTTCTTAATCAATTTGTTTCATGTTAAAAAAAATTTGCGACTGAAAGTCATGTGACATTTAATTTATTTGCAGTACTCCACTCCCTAATTTTAGAATCACTTGTTTCAGTTGAATTTTTTTTCTGTGCCATTTAATTTAGTTAAGAAAATCTCTGAGCAATCTAATAAAGAGTATTTAAAGTCACGTAATCATATGTCTGAAGATATGCATTACATTTTTCTTCCTTTTTAAAAATTTCAAATTGGTCTTATAGTTATTAAATTTAATTTAATTGTTATTTTCTAAAGAAAGATTTATCTTGATCATAAAAAATCATGTCATATCAAATCATATCACAATCAAAACTTATCACAAAACTAATCACATAAAAATTATAATTTCTTGCAGCCATGTATGTACTCTTTTGTCTGAAAACTAAATAATCTTTGCCTTTTTTAAAAAAAATTTCAAAATATTTAACGAACAACTAATCTTAATATTTACTTTATTTATTCATTTCTTTTTTTTTGGGGGGGGGAGGTTCAAACTCATTTAAGTAATTTTGAAAAATTAGCAGAATATTCCTTTTTTCCATTTTCGTAAGTTAGCATAACTAGTATATGGTTTACCCTCAATATGAATTTTCTTGAATTAGTTTAATCAGAGAGCTAAATCATTTATATTTATTTAAATGTAGAGAGATTTTTAGCTTATCAAATAGAAGGATTATTTTGTTCTGTCCTCCCATCACCATAACATTTTCATTCAGCTGATAACAGAAGAGAACTCATTTTATTTCTACCAATCTATCTTCTTTGTAATTTCTCTATATATTTAAAAACAACTCATCTGTTCATGTAAGTTACTAATAACCAGAGTTAGTCTTATTCCTTCAATTTATGAATTATACGATGTGCTTTGCATTCACATTGTTTTCAAATTACACATCATGATTTTTATTCTAGCAAATTTAGGAATTCATTGTGATTTGTATTTACATTATCCACATTGCTTTTTATTTTGACATGAATTACAAATAGAACACATCATGCTTCAGAAGTTATGAATCAGTGATATAGCTGATTATAGAAAACCATAATAAAGATTAAATTGGTTTTCAATGAAATCTTTCAACATGCCGGAGGTAT